CGGACATTCAAAGAAGCTGTGACTTCGCCAGAAGCCCCGTTCTGGAAAGAAGCTATCAATAGTGAAGTTGAATCCATCTTGTCAAACCATACATGGGAATTGGTTGACCTTCCTCCTGGTAATAAACCACTACAATGTAAGTGGATTTTCAAGAGGAAAATGAAAGCGGATGGTGCTATTGATAAATATAAGGCTAGGCTTGTAGTAAAAGGATACAAGCAACGAGAAGGTCTTGATTATTTTGATACTTATTCACCTGTTACTAGAATTACATCCATAAGGATGCTAATTGCCATAGCAGCGGTGTATAAGCTTGAAATCCATCAAATGGATGTTAAGACGGCCTTCTTAAACGGAGATTTGGAAGAAGAAATATATTTGGAACAACCCGAAGGGTTCATTGTTCCAAGTCAAGAGAAGAAAGTATGTCGGCTTATCAAGTCACTCTATGGATTGAAACAAGCACCGAAACAATGGCATGCTAAATTCGACCAAGTCATGTTGTCGAATGGTTTCAAGATCAATGAGTGTGATAAATGTGTATATGTTAAGAACACTCATAATGGTTTTGCCATTTTGTGCTTATATGTAGATGACATGCTTATAATGGGCAGCGATAGTGAGGTTGTTAAGGCGACCAAACGCATGCTCACAAGTAAATTTGATATGAAAGATATGGGGGTTGCAGATGTTATTTTAGGAGTTAAAATCCATAAAACATATGGAGGATTAACTCTATCACAATCCCATTATATTGAGACGATTCTTGGAAAGTGCAAGAATCTAGATATTGTACCGGTAAAGACTCCTATAGATGTTAATTTACATCTTTCGAAGAATCTTGGTGAAAGTAAGGCTCAAAATGAGTATGCTAGTATACTAGGCGAGTTTAATGTATGTCATGAAGCGTACTAGGCCGGACATAGCTTGTGCGGTTAGCAAGCTAAGTCGATTCTGATTAGTCCAAATGAAAATCATTGGAAAGCAATGAAACGTTTATTGGGCTACTTAAAGCATACTCAAGATTACGCTTTGCATTACACAGAATATCCAGCGGTACTTGAAGGATACTGTGATGCAAATTGGATAACCGGCACTAAAGACACAAAATCGACAAGTGGATATGTATTCACAATTGGGGGAGCGGCAGTGTCTTGGAAATCATCCAAACAAACTTGTATTGCTAGATCCACTATGGAATCAGAATTTATTGCTTTGGATAAAGCCGGTGAAGAAGCAGAGTGGCTTCGAAATTTCTTGGAAGACATTCCTAATTGGCCTAAACCAGTGCCCGCTGTATGTATACATTGTGACAGTCAAGCGGCAATAGGAAGAGCAAGGAATGTCATGTATAACGGTAAGTCTCGACACATACGTCGAAGACATGACACAGTAAGACAACTTCTCTCTAGTGGAATTATCACCATTGACTATGTGAAGTCAAAAGATAATATTGCGGATCCATTGACAAAAGGCCTAACTGGAGAGATGGTTGCAAAAACATCAAGGGGAATGGGTTTAAGGCCTATAAACAAGTCATCATAGCGGAAACCCTACCTAGTTTTGGAGATCCCAAGATCTAGGTTCAAAGGGACAACTAAGTTATGAAGACGAGTGTAGAAATCTTGTTAAATTTTTACTCATTCCCGGATGAAGACAAGTACTAATATGTGAAGGTTAAGCAAAAGCTTTTAATGATTCTGAATTGAGTATGTGATATACTATATGTTCGGAAATCACCTATGTGAGTGTGAAGTGAGGCGCACGTGAGAATTGAAAAGGCCGAATTCTCTAAAACACTCATGAGACCAGGCGGTGTTCATGGCCAAAACGAACACAACAGTGAGAACCAATTTTGTTCGAGAAAAATTGTGTGATTTCTATTGTCTAGGCTTACACCAAAGGTCGACGGTTCAAAGACATCAAGTCTCTTGATTGGTGAGTAAGTCGATAGGTTTCACTAAGGAAAGTTCAAGGTCTCGGACTACTTATCCCGATGCAACGTTTTCTCATGGAATAATCGCACATTGCATCTCATGCATACACAAAGAGTCATGATATCTGAACTTCTCATTCATGTGGGGGATTGTTGGGATTTTGGAACCAAAATCCCATAGAATTGAATGAGAAGTGTGTGGGTGAAAGTGTCCCACATAGGGTAGAAGAGAGATGGGAGATGGGTTCAAATAGTTGAGTCTCACAAATGGGTTTGGGCCCCAAGGGGTACCCCACTTTTGTGGAAGAGAGAGGACCTACGTCAAGCTAGGTCGGTCCACCTCCCGCGCGCGCGCCGCCGCCGCCGTCCGTCCGGCCGGCTCGGCTCGGTTCGGCTCTCTATCGGTTTTTATTTTTTTCGAACAGACACGTTGTTTAGAATTTATTTATTTTTGGACAAATAAACATGTATGTTCGTGAGGTTCGGTTCGCCCGAACAGAAAACCGAAGCCCTTCTCGCGACTGTTCATGAACCGAACCGGTTCAAGCGAACCTTCGCTACTATTCACGAAAAAACTCGCGACTCTTCATTTTTCGTCACTTGAATAAGACCGAACAGTTTAGTTCGGAATATATATATCACTTCGTGGCATTCATTTTTCCAAGACGCACTCTACGCATATTCACTTCATCATTGTCATTTGGTGCGATTGTTCTGCAAAATTGCGTTCGTTGGAGTCCTCCGAATACGTACCGCTTCGGAGGAACGAGATCCGTTCTATCCTGGGAGACGATTGTCCAATATCCTCGAGTCCGCATTGAGGGGCCAAATTCGTCTTAAGGACACGACGTTAATTCGTTGGGCTCGGATCAACATTCTGCTTATTTGGTTGTACTGCTTTCAGGTTAGTTTTTTCCTAACGTTTGATTTTAATTTCTGATATACGAACTTAGCCGACAACACGGAATCCTCGTGGATAATGCATACATGGAGGAGCCATGCTGGTCACCTCTCGTCGGCAATTTGGTTAAGAAAATGAGCGACGAATTCCGACTTAACGAAACCTCTGATTGGTGTTAGACAACAACAAAGTATTCGTCGAAATCCCCTTGCGTGGGCGAGGATGCTCATGCTTTGTGGTCGATTAGCTTAGAGAGTTTGAAACTTGGACGGGTGTGCAAAAACTCGGATAAATTTTACGTAAAACCGGACCCAATAATCGACATGAAGACTTCTACGTTTCTTCAAAGGCCATATGCCTTTCTTGAAAAGCAATATCGACTTGCAAAGACATATGCTTTGCGTTCAAGCGGAATGCAGTTTTGCTTAATAACGTGGATTGCGAATTTTTCACGGATTAAAATGGAAAAAATAAAAAAATGGGAGGACAAGTCCAAAGAGTGTGATTAATATAGGAGGACGAGGACGAGGAAACTTTTGGATAAGTCTTGCCGTGTCCCTCTGCCTAAGCAAAGCCAAACATATAAAATCGAAAAAGGAAAGAATGAATAATTTTCGATATCTGGTTACCAGCTACTGTGAGGTCCCAGCTCCGAGGGCCATCTAATCATCTTTTTCTTTCCTTTTGCTACAAATAATAATTCCTGTGATTTGCAATTATTAACTGATTAATTGTGAAAACATTAATATTTGAGATAATGACACAAATGGTCCCTGAACTTTGATCCAATATGTAATATGGTTCATGAACTTTTAATTTATTCGATATAGTCCCCGAATTTTAGCTTAATATTTAATGTGGTCCCTAGACTTTTGGTATATATTCAATTTAGTCTATGAACTATATGAAAATGTTCAATGTAGTTCCTAGATGACATTGAACAAATTAAATTTTCAGGGACCACATTGAACATGAAGTTAAAGTTCAGAGATTACATCGAACAAATTAAACGTTCAGAGATCACAGTACGCATTGAATCAAAGTTCAAAAACTGATTGTATCATTTGCCCTTAGTATTTTCCAAAGATGGTGACTTTTCTTGTCATGCGCGCGATTAGTAGTCAATAAAATTCTAAATGTTTCTGATTAAATATGTTTATTAAATACGTCAAAGAAAATGCAAGACATTTGAAAATGCGAGTTAGATTCGGTGTGCTTTTTCCTCTTGTATTTGATTGGTGGAATTCCTGGAGACGACGAATTTTAGCTTTCTTTTGGCTTATTTGGCTGAATAAACCCGAAATCCTTATTGCCTAAGAAAATTGCGATGGTCGGCCAACGCGACGTCGACATATGCTGACCGACTAATGAACCGACCATTTCATGTTGTCTCTATAGATTGCCCTTGCTTTTTCTGGAGCTTCTCTTCACTTGTTAATCGACTAAATTTTAGAAATTTTATAACTTAACAATGCATTCGCAATTCATGTTTTACAAAATGATTTATTTAGCTTTATAATTACATAAATATACTTAGCAAGTGTACCGATATACCCATTAAATCTAAGTGCCATAGCTTGCCAAACCTTCCATAAAAAAAAAAGAAAAATTTCCGTCGTTGGCGCAATAATGCCAGATTGTTCTTTCCGCGAATCCAACTTGCAAGAGGGTCGCTAATTTAATGCCCCAGCTTCCTAGTGATAGCGGTTTTTTCAATTGACCCTTTTGTTTCGATGGAAACGATCTATTTTACTAATCAATCCTCTACAACAATGAATTCGAGGCTAAACTAGTACCGCCCACGCGATAATCAAACAGATAATTAAAAATAAATGAACACCCCTTAATCCTCAATAGCACTCGCAACTCCATCGAGGTCCATCCGTACCAATCAACGGCATGATGTTAATCAAGTACGACCACCACCAAACCAATCACCGCCGTTTGATCGTGGCGACTCCGATCTAGTGGGGCCCGGCCCAGCGACTTTGTTCCTGTGTCCGCCGTACCTAACCTCCCTCTGGGAACCGTCCAACGAACTTTTCTATTTGACCCCACTAATTCTTTTATTTATCTTTTGGCCCCCCAAAAAGCTCAATAAGTTAAATATATAAAAGAAAAAAAAAGAAATTCAATTTCGCAGAGCCATCGAACCATTTTGGCTACGTGTTCGCTTTCCAGTTTTCCCTTAGCTTACCTTCGCTCTCAGGCACTCTTTCTTTCTCTCGGACTCCGACCATTCTCGCTCTCGTTTTCCCACGCTTTCCCGACTTTTCTCTCCGATTTTCTCGAGAATCTCGCGCGCGTCGCCGCCGTTTCTCCTTCCCGTACCTCACCGATCGGCGCGCCCGCGGCGCGGCGCATGTCCCGCTCGCTGCTCCCGCTGCATCGAATGCGTTTCGCCCGGCGACGCTGAGCTCGGAATTGGATCGCGTCGGACATGGAGAACGAGAGAACAGAGGACGGAGTGTGTTCGGCTGAGTCCGTGAACGGGAGCAGAGAGGTGTGGAGTAGCAGGGACTCCGATTCTTCCTCCACCGATCATCTCGTCGTCATGGTCAATGGGATTCTAGGAAGGTCGGTCAGTCAAAACGTCATTCGCGCATTGTGCATACACACCATCGATGTTGGCCTGCTGTAAAATTCTCGCGTTGTGTCTCCGTGAAATTAGGTTTCGGGTCTATCGACATTAGCTGTGAATGTTGCTGCTTTGACCGACGGATGATCGGATTTTCGGTCCTACCTTTATTTGTTCCTGCTCAACTTTTTGTGCCGGTTATCACGTGCATCTCGAACATTTGTGTTCGAATTGAATCTATTATCTCTGGCATGAAATTTTGCTGGTCGTTTTATGTTGCCTTCTAAGGCTTTACTTCGTGCTGATGCTTAATGGGTTGGAACTGTGAGCTTTTCGCTTCCAATCTATGCAGCTTTTCCCGTTTTCTTTCTTCGCCGAGAACTCAATCTCTCTGCAAATTGTGTTCTGTGTGAAATGCCATCATAACAATGTGATTGTAGGGGGCCATGTGCTGAATCTACGCCCTGCGGGACTTATGAAATGTAGGAGTATAGAAGGGATTTTAGTTTTCTTACATGCTTTCACCATGTCATACTTTTGTCGATTATACAAATAACTGCATAAACCCTACCTTTGCATGGATAATTTGTTTAAAAAAGCCTACTTATCAGATCATTCTTTTTAATGTACTCTAGCTCTGATCAAAGTAAAAATACTTTGATATCCTCTGATCAAAGACCTTCATCACGGGTCATACATCTAATAAAATTAAGTTGATTAGCTACAACTTCTTTCACATCAATCTTCTTTAAGTTGCAAAATGTGGCTCTTCTCATGTAAGTACAAATAGGTGAGGTTTGAGGTTTAAACCATGGGTAAGTTCTTCGAAGAATGCCTATAGATAGAATGCTTTGGGTAAATAAAGCTAAATCCTAGGAAATTGAACCTTATTGTTGCGAATAAGATGAAACAACTAGGTGAAACATTGGATAGAATGGTGGGATTATTTTCTATCTGAAAGTACTGAACTTTATGTGCCTTTGCAGTGCCGCGGATTGGAAGTTTGCAGCTGAGCAGTTTGTTAGAACTCTCCCTGATAAAGTGTTTGTTCACTGTAAGATCGATTTCTTGAGTCGTTTTTCTATCTTCATCTATTGTAAACATTTTGTGTTAAAGTGACATACACTAATGTGCTGCATGCCTTGATTTAGCCTAGAAATACAGTGGATCTACTCCCCGATTGATGATAATCTTCCTGCATTACTTGTTCCTTTGAACTTTTTATGGCCTTTATTTCTTTGCACGTTTGAATTCATCATGTATTTCTGAAAGAGAAGCAATAATCATTTCCATCTTACAGAAGGCTTTCACTCAGTAGTATTGATAATCTTTGAGGCTATGTTTGGGAAAAGAGAGAAAATGAAAGGGATGAAAATTCGGGTGGAAAATGGGAGGAAGTTTGATATGTTGTGAGAAAGAAATGGAGGAAAAATTTAAATTTTGTGACACTTTCTCTTCAAATTCCATGCCCGCTGGTGTTCCCAAACATAGTGTAATTATCTCTCCATGAATGTCGTGTCCTGTGGATCATATGTGGCATTTTCACTTCTGAGAAAGAAACCACCCATTGTTCTTTGTTTTTCTTCTGAGCTTGACGAAAGGTGATTGGAAGCAAAATATTGCGGTAGATTCTTAACTTTTGAGTTTTGACATAGTATCATGGACATACGCATCATAACTGTACTGTAGGCTTATGGTTCTATATTCTTTTCTTTCCACCTCGCTGACTTGACTCTTCTGGGCTGTGAGCCTTCCCCCTGATCCTCAACTGTTTACATGATTTCAGGTAGTGAGCGCAACGTAGCTAAGTTGACACTAGATGGTGTTGATGTGATGGGTGAACGTTTGGTTGAGGAGGTTTTTTCTTTTAATCTGATTCCAATTCTTCTTGATTACTTGTTTTTCATTGCTTGGCAATCTTCTTTTGAAATAATATATGTAGAGTAATGCATTGCCCTTTATTGCCATTTGTTGTTAGGTTCTTGAAGTGATCGATAGGAAACCAAATATCTGTAAGATCTCTTTTATCGCCCATTCTGTGGGAGGGTTAGTTGCAAGATATGCTATAGGAAAACTGTACAGACCAGCTAAGACGAAAATCGTGGAAGATTTGTCAGCTGAGAAAGTGGTGGAGGAATCTAGGGGTACCATAGGTGGTCTGGAGGCTATAAATTTTGTCACTGTTGCTACACCTCATCTTGGTTCACGGGGTAATAAGCAGGTATTTTGTTTCTTCATTATTGAACTTACCTCCTTTTTCTTTCTGGCATTATAATGTATTGATGAATATGTCATAGGAATTTTGTGTCAGCTCGTTTCAATGAGAAACAACTATTTTTGTCTTTGATTAATTTTCAAGCATAAAATTGTGACTGTTCTCTAGTCGCCGGTTTTTTTTAAAATGGCAACTTAATTGGATGAATAATCACGTTCAGAGGAGAGGGGCCTTCCTGAGGAAAGAGGACAAGTATCAAGGACTAAGGAACCGTTGGAATCATAGAAATAGTTGCTATATGGTACTTGAAGATCATATAACATGGAAGACTTAATTTTCACACTGAATCCTTGAGTTTCTTCTATTTGACCCTAACCTCTCAAGTCCGAGTATGTGGGATTTGTTAGATTTGAGAATATTCTGTTCTCTGTTCTCATTGGTGGCTTTTAAGGGCATGTTGTGATAAGAAGTTAATAACCTGTTACGCAGGGGGGGAAAATAGAGAAAACTTGTCTGGTTGCTGAAGGAAAAACTTGAAGCGCTAAAGATGCTCCCTAGATATGCTTGCCGACCTTGACTTGGTTTTTACCATCTTCTTAAGTTTCTCATATGGACTCTTTTTTGGGTGCAATTTTCTCATATAGACTTCGAAAGTAAGTTCTGTATATAGATTTTTGAAGTTTCTAGCCCTTAAGGATTGTCATCTACCTTGAACCGGTTTCAGCTTGTCCAGATACTAACTCTTTAAAATACTTGCCGAGTTGATATGCACGAATTAGTTTCATCTGCAGTCTGGTTAGCAATCATATATCTACAAACAAGTGACAAATGACATGTGGATGTATAAACCTGGATATTATGACAGCTCAGACTGCTCAGAGTTTGGGAACTGCTCGATAAGCTATCATTCTTTTTGTCAGATCAAATCCCTTGGCGTTTTTTGAGTCGACTTTGTTTTGACAGGTGCCATTTCTTTTTGGATTGACCGCCATTGAGAAAGTAGCCACTTGTGTTATTCACTGGATATTTAGAAGAACAGGTCGCCATCTTTTTCTCACTGATGAAGATGAAGGAAAGCCTCCATTACTTCGCCGCATGGTGGAAGACTCCGGCGATTACCCTTTCATGTATGTCAAATGGATTTGTACTCATCCTTGTTTTAGCTGTTTGTACTTGACGTGCAACATCCAATCATTCCAAAGTTGAAATGTTGATTCTTCAAATAGTTGCCAACTCTCCCCCTCTTTCTCCCTTTGCAGGTCTGCATTAGGCACCTTCAGGCGTCGGGTCTCATATTCAAATGCAGGCTGTGACCGTATCCTGCCTTGTGTGTTAAAAGAAGTTGTTTTTCAATACATTCTTGAGATTATCACTTCAAATTGGGGCTGGTCGATTCATGTCATTGTGTCATGTTCAATAGTTCCTGTCAATTTTTTTTTTTGTGTTGGCATTAGAGCATCGTAATCTTTATTTATCAAGCCAAATGATTGAGTTATGGCAAATGTGTGTTAATTCGTGTCAATAAGTGAATATATCATATTTCTTCGTATTTGCATCATGCCATGTCCAATGTTGCAGCTATTTCAAATGTTGTCCATGACTGATAATCCTTCAAGATATCGTTGGATGGAGAACATCATCAATAAGACGTAATACCGAACTGCCAAAGGTAGCACCTTAATGTTTCTTCTTTTATCATGGTTCACGTAATTCAATGTTACTGCTGAACGGCTTTTCTTGGGGTTTTAGTGGGAAAGCTCTCTCAACGAAAAGTATCCTCATGTTGTTTATGAAGAGCATTGCAAGGCCAATGATACTGAACAAAGTGAACCTATACTAGGTGAAAATGGTGGAGCTGAAAAGTTAGAAGGTATGTCTTCGAAATTCAACAAGATAGTAAACATTAGAATCTTCTTTTCTAGTTTTCCAGGTAGCAGAGCTGATGCTTTACTATTTCATTGTTCTTATGTCATTTTTCTGCGTACAGTGCTTTGACATGCCTTTGTGCTGAAAGAAGTGTTTTCAAGTGGTTTTCTATTCATTCGATCCATATATATTTTGCAGAAGAACTAGTCACCAGCCTTTCTCGTGTGTCTTGGGATAAAGTAGATGTTAGCTTTCACAGCAGCTGGCAGTGGTTTGCCGCCCATAGTATTATCCAGGTAGCTATACATCCGCCTGCATGGGCACCTCTCTCTCTCTCTCTCTCTCTCTCTCTCTCTCTCTCTCTCACACACACACACACACACACACACACACACACAAACGCGCGCGCACACGTGGGCGCGCGTGCGCGAACATATGCATAAGCTGATGCATGGTCTCTATCGCACATGATGAACTACATATTCTTAGAAGTCTCTGTGGTTGAGAAACTAATGCTAAGAATACACTTTCCAGCATCTATTACGAATTAATGCAGCAGATAAGACTACTTTGGTACATTAATGTGGTTCAAGAATTGCAAAAGAAGAATAAATGGCTTGCAATTCTACACATTTACTGATAATGCAGCATGATAATAGCTAAAATCACTGTCTTGCTTTCTGAAGGAATGAGATTTCGTCTGGTTTTGACAAATTTTGGTGGTAAAGCAAACTTAGTGAACTTGCTAGTGAATTTATATTAATCTAGAAATAAACCAATCTCACTATGTAAAAGATTGGAAACAAATTTACAGACCTTCATAGCTTAGTCTGTGTTAAGATGGGGGCTTACGTCATCAACGAAGGCTGTCGGAGGAGGAAGACAATGGCTAGTTGATAGTTAACACTTAATCTTCTCTTTCATTACAACTGCAAATTTATTCTACAAGTTTTGAATATCTGGAGTTTAAGAATTTAAAAAAAAGAAAAGAAAATGCTTCGGCGCTGATTGTGTGAGTATATTGTTTGGGGTCTTACTTCCTGATGATCTGAACTGAGTATGACTTCTGGCATATGTGGATAGTCGTGAAATATATGTTACTGGGAAATAATATTTGGTGTTTCCCTATATTTGAGGCCACGGAAGGTCCTGTAATGTATTTTTGAAGGGCACTGATTTTGACTGGTATTTTAACAGGTCAAAGATCACAATATGCACATGGAGGGTGAAGATGTCATCCGGCATATAATCGATCACTTCCTTACTTAGAGTATGTTGCTGTAATGGAAAGTGCTCCAATAGCAGGAAACTCAACTCTCGTTGGTAAGTTACCATCCATCTGCTTCAGAGATCTGGTTCTGAGAAGTTTCACCGCTTCAGATTGGAGCAATGTGGTTTTTTGGTACCGATGGTCATTGATCGTATAAGAGCATCGGCAACTGTTATTAATGCGCAATCCATAGCTAAATTACTTTATTCATTTTATCTATAACAGTAATGAAATGAGGAAATGCTGTTGCAATGTAATGCAATAACGAGCAATAATTTGCTTGGCTTAGGGGTATTATATTCTATGTCAAGCTTTTAGAAACTCTCTCTCTCTCTCTCTCTCTCTAGTGCATATGCACAAAGCTTGCCTGCATGATATGCGAAACTCTCACTTCATGGTTTCTTCTGCTTCGGATGTCCGAGACTTTGAGGAGAACATAGGGATCTTACATGATGCTGGCAGTAAACAAAAAAATTCATTTATTTTAATTATCAAGAATAACACTTTAACATTGCTGCTACTATAGTTAATGAGCCTCTTGGAAGGAAAAAGAATTAACTCAAGTTAAGATAGACCAAAGGATAGAAAAAAATATATGCTTAGTTGTTAAGGAAAATAGCAAATGCTTGTTAGTTTCTAAACCGTGCATAGCATGGGTATGCTACTAACGCTACTAGTTTGCATAATAGCTGAGACCCTTGCGAACTGCTATTTTTGCCTGCTTCTGCATAAGTCTCCATTAAACTTGACGAAAAACTGTCCAAAACCTAGTCAGCATGTGTTTGCGAGCATTTACACTGGGTCAATAAGGACATACTGTAATGGCTTGATCTCTGATCACGCCAACAAAAAAGAAAACGAAGTAGCTTTGTGACATCGGGTGTATCACTACGTACGGGCACGCATATGCTCGAGTCTTTTCTTCCTAACACGTTGGCGGGAAAACTGAAACTTAATCCTATTTTTAGCGTACGCACTCCGTTCTCATTCCTCCATTTAGTTCTCGGTTGTTGCTTAGGTTTTGGTCCCTTCGAAAGGCCATTTCAGATGTGATGTCCGGAGGGTTTTAGATCTGATGTCTGGAGTGAGTTCTAGGCGAATAGTAGTGGGACTACTCGGGAGTAGATGATTCTTCAAGGAAATAGGGAAATTTCCCCCACACTTGCGGAATAAACTGATATATTTACAGTAACACACACTTAACATACGCATTAGTTAACATGCTTAGGACAAAAACAGATGGACTATACTCCCTCGAGCAGATGAGTTTCGTAGACCTCGAACTTTCTCAACCATTACGAATTTTGCCTGGATTCTCTCGGGTCGCTTGTCCTGTGCTGGCCATGGAAAGCACCACAACCGATATTCATTCCCAATTACCCGCACTTGTCAATTATGCCTCCTTGACTTAGCCGCCTTATTCCTCTCTCTCTCTCTCTCTCTCCCCGTCTTGTACGTCTCACTATGAGTTTGGGGACTTGCCGACGCAAACATTTGGTATCGTACATCATATCATAGTCGACATCAGGCTAATCTCGACATCCCACCGTCTACGATGGACACACGATGACTGTTTCGTATGTCGTCACAACACTTCGTCCTGGTTACTAACGACCGTTGCTCTGAGTCAGCGCTCGTGTCCCACTCATCTTCACCCCCTTCCTCCTGCGCCCACATCTCAATCAGCCAATCTTCTAGACTTTCTTTCGACTCCTCCTCCTTCACCGCCGCCCTCCTCCTCTTGCGCCCGGGATTCGGCGGCGGGGCCGACTTTCCGGCCTCCAGAGGGAAATTCAAGATGGCTTTCCGGCCCCTCATCTTGAAAGCGGCGCTGTCGTAAGCCTGGGCAGCATCTACATCCGTGTCGTACGTCCCTAACCAGACCCGCCTCCCCTTACGGGTCGGGTCTCGTATCTCCGCAGCAAATTTTCCCCATGGTCTTCGCCGAACCCCTCTGTAACGCGCCCTTGCCACGGAGTCGGCCCCGACCGGACTCTTCTCCGGTGACCCTAGCTCGGACTTCGGAGATTCCAAGTCGATGGGCTCGGCTTTAACCTCGGGATTCGGTGTCTCCAGGTCTTGCCACACGGGTTGATCTGAACATGGCGAGTCTGGTTCCGGATCAAGAAACTGGTTCTCTGTTTTCAACGGTTGGATTTGAGCGAGGTTGAAAGAGTCTCCTAAGAGATATTGCCTGATGAGCTCCAAAGTGGAAGATTCATCAAGGCTGGCCATTTCGGAGAGAGAAAAATCCATGAGGAAGGCTTGACTAGATCATTCCGTAGTAAGTACGAAATTTGTTTATAGACGAATAAGGGAAGAACCCCCTTTTTGTAACAGGTAAAATGAATCAGGTCGCTCCAGAGGGATTCAGTGTATTGGATGTCCTAATTTCTGATGGTGGGTCACAACTGAATTAAATTCGTACGTTGGATCCTTATGTGAACTGATCTTATCCTCTTTCTTTATAGGAAAAATGACATAAACAGTCTCCGAATTTTATTTCAATATGTAATTTAATCATTGAACTTTCAATTTGTTCAATATAGTCTCCGAACTTTAATCCAATATTCAATATGGTCACTGACCTTTTAATTCGTTCAATGTGGTCTATGAACTTTTGATACATGTTCAATATAGTCCATGAACTTTATAAAAATATTCATTATAGTCCTTCCATTAATTTAAGTTCAGGGACTATATTGTACATTTTCATATAGTTCAGGGACTAAATTGAATATGTACCAAAAATTCAGGAATCATATTGAATAAATTAAAAGTTCGAAAATCATATTGAATATTAAGCTAAAATTCAAGAATTATATTAAATAAATTAAAATTTTAAAATTTAAATTATATATTTAATTAAAGTTCATGAATTATTGATGCCATTATCTATTTTTTCTATTGGGAAGAGGAAAGAGTTTTGGATTTGGGCCAGCGAAATACGTGTGCGCTAGGAATCATTCGCCGTCGCTTTTTTGTCTCTATGAAGAGACAGAAATCGATGCAACTTGCTAGTTGCTGCAAGTTGTTTCCTGGAGGGCCCATCGTGCAACTCACCATGTTAACATTTTGTCCGTTCCTCCCATCACGATCTTTTGCCCGGAGATGTCTAATCATTGGGAGGGTTAAGTGGCTCGATTGAGAGCTACGGAAGGAAATGGATATATCCCATCAAGTTGCATGGGGAGCACATCTCTCGTACAGTTGGCAATTGATATTTGCCTGCATAAAGCAAGGCAACGACAAATCTCTGTCTTCCTTGCCTAATTTGGCAATCTTGATAGGAAGATGACGGGGTCTCTTCTCTCTCAATTAAATCAAGTAGACTTGAGCGCAAAGAAATCTTTCATTCGAATTGAAAGAAATACACGAATGTTACATTCAATAACATGGGTACACGAACACTCACCGCAACTAGCATGTTTAAAAGGAGAAAGCAGCATGAAAGTCCAAACGGATAGATGCCGTTACATCCAACTTTTTCGTAACTTCGTACGAGAGAGAGAAAAATTAGCTCTTGCTGAAAAAGAAGACAGAAACATTTGGCCGAACGATCCTTACCATAAAAAAAAAAGAAACATTTGGCCGAATGCTGACTTTGGCTGAAGATAATCCAAGCCAAAATGTTCATGGTTGTACGACGAGGGATGCAGAGAAATATCTTCCTTTCCTTGCATTGATATCGCAACCTGCAAGTGGCGGTGATTTGACAGGGACGTGACTAGGTGAAGAGACCCCGTGGACATTGACTCGTGTCTTAAAGACCCCGTTGAATTTGATAGACTCGTGACTCGAGCAGGACCATTTACCACAGTGATCTGGATTTTCGAAGTCACACCACCTCTTTTCTCCTTCGTAGCAAAGAAATGTCTCCTCCGGTTAGTAAATTGGTATTTATACTAAAAAAATGATTAATTTTTAATTATTATTGACATGCGGTAGACTCAGTCGATGCGAACAAACTTTGATCGTTCGTGAATAAAATTACCGGTAACTTGAAAAGAATCGACAACTTGCCAATAAAGTTATCGACATCACACGGCGTGAAGTTATCGACGAAGTCATCAACCGCAAGCAATCGATAAGAGGATAACTACCGATTGATTATTTGCCGCTATTTTATGATTGTTGTAACTTTTTGTAACCCCTAAGAAGTCATTTCTTTTTCAGTAACTGCTTGTATATTTTAGATAGCTATTTTGTACTACTCTCGCACAAATAAACAAACAAACAAACAAATACGTTATCTTTCAATTCACGCACTATAGTTATTGGATGCCTCGCCGTCGATTAAATTCCGGCGTATATCTTTACTACAGTTACTGGGTGCCTCGACTTCGATTAAATTCCGGCATTACATCTTTACGTTCTCAGACTTTATGGTAGATTAAATTATGATAAAGTTGGTGTACATTCAATTCTCTTTGCAATGAAGTTATGAATTTTCTTATTTTTTTGTGATATTTCTTATCCAGAATTGCCACAAAATTCATCTCTTGTAACTAAAATCAAAGAAATGAATTTCAATAAAAGGTATTTTGTCGCGGAGCAGCGTTTCGTCGAGTTCCGGCGAAACACTTACCACTGATCTTTGAGAAGTGGTTAGCAAAAGCTATCGTTTCCCCGATAATAATGAGGCGGTTGAAAGATATCATCACAGATGGAGTCCTTGCATACTCTATCCTTTGATATATTTTTTTTTTTCGGGCTATAATATCCAATCCCTCGATCAGTTGGTGTCAATTTATGCATTGATAAGGTTAGGTACAAGTACTTTCTTTCAGGGCTACGGGGGTTGCGCATCAAGTGGGACAAGTTGGAGAGGTTGCGTCCAAGTGGCAAACTCTGGTCCGTGCAACTGCCCCACTCAATGAATGTGAGTTCGTCATGTGCGTTGGCATTGATTTTGAGGACCTGGATGGACCCCTACGATCATCAATCGGTTTAGATGAATTGGGTCCAAGAGGTCTACGTCTATGGTCCGTGCAACATCCTTCTCTCTTCGTACATGAGCCCTAGGCCTCACCCTCGTAGGCCTCATAAGGAACTTTCCTGTTTCTAATAAAAATAGAAATTGATTGGCAAAATAAATAAATAAAAGGATGTTAAGACTCGACTTATTTCGCGAAAATGTGACATTTCTTTTTCTAGAAATCATTATCCAGGAAAATGACATATTTTTTGGTACTTAGCTGTAACGGAAAATGAACTGAAAAATATTTTTCGTTTTCTTGTATGAAAAATATGGTCTGATTTTCCTAAATAGTCATATACTATTCGGGCACTAATAACTTGCACGTGCGCAGTCGAAAAATCGGGTAGGGACACTAGAGTCTTGGGTCCGTCCCTGATGGACCCTGACCGTGGCATTAGGGATAGAGGCACGAGCACCTGGGTCTTGAGTTGGATCTCAGTGGACCCCGAGTGTGGATTAGGGATGAGCACGGTTTTAGGGTAGAATCTGAAACTTGATAACTGGACCGGTGGGAACCTATTGGTTTCAAGCTCCAAGGTATGCAGGTAGGTTCCAAATTCCAAAAATTAGGTAACTTATTTCGATGGGTAAGTTCCAAGTTCTAGGTAGGTGGAACCTGAAACCTGACACCTGAAACTTGAAACAAGTTCTTGTATTTTTATTTGTCTATGTCTTCGCATAATCATGTGGTATTTCGTGGCGTCCGATGATGAGTGTATAATCTGGAATTACTAGTATGAGTTTTCATTTTATGACTAAGATTTTTACTTCGTTAATGTTTCATATTTTTCGTGTGTCTAAATATAAGTTGTGGTCAGTGGATTGTAGTAGTAAATGGTGGTCATTAAAAGTGATGGTTCATTGTAATCTTTTAATTAATAATACATGTGAAACCTGGGTAGATCCTGGAACCGATCCTAGAACTTGTGACATGGTAGGTTTTAGGTTCCAAAAAATGAGAAACCTGTTCTCACGGGTAGGTTTCACGTTTCAGGTGGAACTTGTATGGAACCTAAAATCGCTCATCCCTAGTGTGAATAACGGGATCTTAAGCTCAGCCTCAATGGACCCGAGCACGAGCACCCGGGATTCATTCCGAGCCTAGCTTTGATGGACCTGGGCTCGGGCGTTGAAGACTTGGTCCCGATGTCAAAAATCCAAGAACCAGCGTTGGGATTTCTGCGGGTCAAGCGCTGACACATAGTCATATTTTGAAAATTGATTTTTAATTTGTTAAAGAAATAATTATTTTCCTAAATTTAAGCTAAGTTGATTAGGAAAATATTTTCAGTTGATTTATTTTTCTAATTGAACCAAATACCAAAAAATAAAAAATAAAAAAAATTTCGAAAAATGTCTGATGTGAATCAAACGAAGCCTAATTATTGACAGCTTCGGCCAACCTACATGCATGTGCTCTATTTGCCCAATATTTCAATTTGAAGATTATTGTCTCAGTCGGTCTTCGGTGTCTCTTGTTAATCACGAAGTGACAGTTCCATCGGTATTAGCGTCTAGACCGGGTAACCAGCCATCATCGAGTGTCGGGGAAACTGTGAAGAAAAAAAAAAGACATGCCGACATGCCGACTCTCACAATATGAAGGCAAATCATGGGCTTGACCATTAAAAATAATTTATAATCCTACTTGTGCTGTACAAGATTTGAATTTCACATTGGTGGTTGTTTTATTACAAAGTTCTCCTAATAGAAGTCCGACATCTTTATTTGGGGAAATCGCCGATAAAGAGCTCAAGCACGAGCTCATTAATATATCAAATTAGACTTATTTTCATTCAAAAATTTAAGTCAATCAGTTATGAGATAATCGGTATATATTAACTATTTTACATCACATCAATTCTTCGATTTTGTGACTTTTCTAACATAACTTACATGTGCATCTCAATACTAATAACAAAGACTAATGGGATTACGAAGCGCGATAGGTTATGCAATCCTAATAGTGACGGGAGGTTTATATGGCTTTGGGCTCTCACATCTCATTGGGTAGCTTTTAGGGCGGGATTCTTTCAAGATCTATATCAAAATCAATGTCCGTCCCACTGTTGCCTTACAAGGAAAACCATTCCCGATGCATGGACATGCATTAGTTGCGATGCAAAGTCCAACGGAAGCCGCTATTCGATAACGATTGCGGAGAAGAGAGGGTGATGGATCATCTCTCTTTCCTAATCGTTCTAGTGTCGAAACCAAATGAACATCGGCAAACCTAGACGCCTTAGCTATTAAGATCTTTCCAAGTACCCCTTAGAAACGAGCTGCGTTGGCTACGCAAAATTGCTCTACTTGTTATGCCCCCAGCTGGAGGAATGGAAAGACGAGTAGACGGGGATAAAAAAATCGACTTTCCAAGAAGCAATTTTCTCAGTAAACAACGCAACTCGTGCAAACATAACGATGGGGAAGTGATTTCCTTTCTCCCCTTGTAATCCGAGTGGAATCAAGCTGATTGATGTGAGGATGTTTAAGCTTTGCTAGGTAGCTCTTGGCCTTTAACAAAAAACCCCTGTTTTCGGGAGAGCTCGGGAGTGGAGACCTAAGCGACGAGCACTTGTACACGTGAGCTCAACCCGACTGAATTACATTGAACATGCGAATAAGAAGAGAGTACCCGAATTTCCTGACATCCATTCGAGCCATTTAATCGCTCAAAGTCGAGCGTACAACAATCATATGGGAACGATGCCTTTCGACAATTTCCCCTTTGGCTTTTACTTGACAAAGAATCAGCTCCGGATTATTCTTTGATGAACGAATGAATAAATTCATTAGCCTTTCATGGCGAACTACAATACCACATCTCCCTCAACCTCTGTCATATTTACACTAACTTAACATCTCAAACTCAAGACTCAAACTCAAACTCACACTTTCTGCTTCTTCTTCTTTTTTCCTATAATTTTTGTCCTTCTTCCCTCATTTTTTAAGGAATTAAGACTACTCAAATTGTCGAAGAAACTTTGCCCTCTCTTCCATTTGTGTTTTCTTGATTTTGGGCCGCAGCAGTTCTTGAAATCGATGATGCGATCTTTGGTCTTCTCCTCACCTGACCAGGAGCTGAGAATAGAGGCATGGGTGCGGAGATATCGGCGATAGCGGCGGGACGCTGAATATGCTCTCCTGATTCCCTTCGCCGATGTCCCAGAACCCCCTCCAGCTCGATGGCGTCAGCGGGCATATCTCCCTGCTGGCCGCTGCGTCCGCAAGCTCCTCCTTCTTCACCGCTTTATAGCTGCCGCAGGAGCTCGTCTCCGACTCGGCGCTCTCCGCGGCTTCCTCCCTTGCTCTCTTGCGAGAAGCATCAGCCGAGGTTAGCAGCGACGACGCCGCCGCCTCGTCGCGCCCCGCCTCGAGCGGGAAGTTCAGGATGGCCTTGCTCCCGCGGAGCCTGAACGCCGCCCGGTCGTAGGCCTTGGCGGCCTCCACCGCCGTGTCGAACGTCCCCAGCCACACCCGCGTCCCCTTGCGCGTGGGGTCGCGTATCTCCGCCGCGAACTTCCCCCACGGCCGCCGCCGCACGCCCCTGTAGTGCTTGTCGGCGCCGCCGTCGCCGCCGCCGGAGACCGACGGCTCGGCCTGGGGGGCCGCCGGCCTCGCCAGGAAGCTCGTCGCCGCCGGGACCGCCACGTGGATGGCGGGGCGGCGGGAGCTGAGGGTGGAGGAAGAAGACGGCTTGGGGGGCTTGGAGAGGGAAGGAGGGGCAGGCTTGGGTTCGAAGGTGAAGGAGGTCTGGGGCGAGCTGGAACCGGAGGTGGCGGGGTGCGCGATGGCGGAAGTGCAGGCATCGAGGCCGGTGAGGAAAGTGTCCACGGAGGTGAAGTCGTTCAGGAGGTGTTGCCTGATCAGTTCCAGGGTGGAGCTCTCCTCTTGTGCTGATGCCATCGATTTGTCTTTGAGATTAGAAAAAAGAAGAAACAGACAGTGTGTTCAAATCGTGGAAAGATGGAGGAGAGAAAGAAGATGAGAAGTAAATCGGGAAGTGAAGAGAAGAATGAGAAGATTTGAGTTCGAATTGTTGAGTGGAAGATGGGGGAGTGTGGTGGAGATGGAGTGAATTTAAAGGGGGTTGGAACTGGTGGAACTAAAAGAGAAGATGAGGGGCTTCATAGGAACCTTCCAGGGTGGAGATGGGAAGCATCGTTTTGGCTTAATCTTTCGACTTTTCAAGCTCAAGCAATGGCTCCAACAGTGATCTCTTCTTGGAATTTTCAACGACATCCGTCGCTTTCCCTTCTTTAATCTCATGATTTTGGTTTGGTTGTGGATGGGGACCATGTCATGATGATGCCACTAGGCACAAGAAATTCTCCTTCCAGGGTGCTTCCATATCAAATCTTTCCATGAACAGGAATTAACGGGAGGCACGAAAATAATTATTTAACTCTGGATCATAATCAACATGGGGGGATTAAAATATTAAGAATGGATAAGAATATTAATCAATTTCTGTTGGACAAATGTGGGAGGAAAATGAGTGGGGCTTGACTTTGTGTGGCGCTCCAACAGTGCGCTGCTTGACTTGGAGGTGCACTCATCTCGAAGGAACACGTACGTACCTACATCTCCAAATAAGCTTTACTCAACCGTGAGCTCTCTACTTAGACAGCTATGTGATTTGCTTTCATCTAAATTTTATTAGGGTTGGAGTGGTATAAAGCTTCAAGCGAGGATCGAGCGCATTTTCAAACAGCTTGCGTTCGAAAAGGATACGTATTTCATTCGATCTTTTGTGTGTGTTTGCTGAGGATTTTTTGCATAATTAACTCTAAGTTAGCTATGCTCAGATTTTGTAAATGATTCGATGCGTTTGTCGCAAAAATTTGAAAACCGTTGCCATTACTATTCGTGGGCTACTTTGGCCATGTCGACAAACCAGCCAGGAACTACAAACCCTGAAGCTGATTGATTTCACAGAGCTTATGCAAAGTGAGAATTGGACTTTAAAGCCGGTTTGGATTTTGAAATATAAGTTTATTTTTGTTGCTGTTGTCATAGGAAATGAACGACTCCGGGCCCCTCAAATTTCAAATAAGCGTTAAAAGTAACAACAACATTTTCAATACTTTATCTGATCAAAACTACAAAAGATGATTTTCCTTTTCACGTTCTAAACATCCTTAGTTTCGTTCTAGGATTAAAGCAACGAAACCTCGAAAAGTTAATTTTAATTGTGAAAACAAATTATTTTCAAAATATGTATGTGCATGTGATATATAAGTATTTGTAATACACGCATATGATCATTTAAAGCTTGATGATGAATAATATATATTCGTTTATAACTTAAAAGGCTATATTGCTATAAAGAAATCAATTATCTCGATATTAAATATGGACCTAAGATTCAATAGTCATTTAGTTTTAAGATCTTGCGCTCATTTCGTAATCTGTTGCATGAATTCGAAATTCTCGAAACCGGGTCTTTGAACATATGGGATTTTTCCACTCAAGTCCTTCAGTTTAGTCTATGATCCCGGCAGCATAAGCTTTTCGTCCACATCAAATGGTGCTTTAGCTTCAACTAATTCGAACCGGTACTCCGGGGTTTCAATTGGAAAACTCTACAAATCCAAAGATTTAGCTACACATCTTATCAGTTTGATGATCTGATTAGAAGAAGTAATTGGAGTTTTAGAGCCTTTTACGAATTAAAATAAGGAAAAGGGGGGCACGGATTTGTTTTGACAACAAGGGATCCCGTCGCGGAATTCAAAAGCCATGTGCGTTTGAAGTTTTGACTCTTGGGGTCAAAACTTTGAATTCTCACGTAATCTAATCACCAATCCAGAAACGACGGAAGTTGCTTTGTGTGTTTTGCGCGCATATCTCTCTCTTTGCTTTGGTGGGCCCCATCTACAAGACAAGAAGGGGGGGTCGCCTTTTTGTCGAAGTGGGCCACCCTCTCGCTATTGCCTAGAACCCTCCGATTCGTGTCGTGCCTGTTCTCTCTTGCCGCGATATTTCCCCCCTACTACAAGTGGCTTTAACTGCAGACGTGGACAATTTGTTGATCTATATAGTCAAATAAATAGAAAGGTACGTGGGGCCACGTTGGTCAATTGTTTTGTTAGGCTCGAAATCCAAGCATTTTTCGAATTTTCAACCTTAAGCTTTTACCCTTCAAAGTTCATGCTTATCTGACCAAAAAAATAAAAGGGGTTAATGCTTAATAATAAGGAAAAAAAGCCACAAAAAGTAATAAATCATAATTACTGTAACACGCTTATTTTAAACTTTTCTTTTGTGATACCAAAAGTCTCAAACTATACTTATTATGACACATTTGCCCTAAAAATTTTCTTGTGACATAAAAAATCTCAAACTCGCACATATGTAATATATTTACCATCCGTCAAGATTCCGTTAAATGATTTTTCAGTTAAAATAACTTCGTTTTTATTTCACTTAAGCTATGGGGCGGTAATGTCAACATTGTTTGCATTCTGACGTCCATGTAGGTAAATTTTTAACGGTTATCATTGATGAAATTTTGACAGAGGGTAAATGTGCCACGTAGGTACAAATTTATGATTTTTCGATATCACGATACGCATTATTTAGGATTTTTGGTGGTTTTTGTCTTATAATTAAATATCTTTTTTTTTTGGTCGGATTCTTATGATTAAATATCTTAAACAAATCAATTTCGTGAATCTTTTGTCAGGCTACCAGGTCAAGAAAAAGAGAAGATATATTCGAGTCGAAAGGTGCGTTTCTCCTTGTTCTTTCTTTCTCCTATTTCTTGAGAGGGTTGGATCACAATCGACAGGCAAATTAGCTCCTTGATTGCAGTACATACTACCGGGTCGGTCCAAAGCAATCTCGACCGAGCCGTTCCAACTTCCCGTCCAAAACCACCGGCCGATCTACGAATGGACAGAAAAAACGGCTCACAGAAACGAATGATTCGGTCAAGTCGGCACGAGAAAAGCTTCATCGAAGTCACAGAGTCAACAAGTCATACGGTCCTCAACACGAGCACCTCCTCTTCATATTCACGAGTCATCGTGATACACGAGACGTACTGACCTGGATGGATATAGTATTTTTATATGGACTAGACGGGGCCACGATCACAATCGCTTGTCAAGCATTACAACCATCCAGCCTGGTGCTCACGTGTTTATACATGGCTTGACTCCCTCCGTTGCCACGTGAATGTTGGAGTGGAAAATTCTAAAAGGTCATGCCATTGAGTGCCTCGAGGATATTTGCTTCGCATATGTTTTTGTGGACATTAAAAACTGATCAACTTTTGATTATTAGCGACAAGTGACGTGCTTAGTCGGTAAAAATAAAGTTTGGTGAACAGCGAAAGTCGTTGATGAAAAGAACGGTCGACAGCTTGAAAAGTATCGACAACTCACCAGACAGTCGCCGAGTAACGATATTTTTGGATATGTAACTTTTTTTAGATAAAAGTTTAGTTAAATAATAGGTAACTACTGGGTGGTTATGTTTATTACCGCTATTTTAGGATTTTGTAATTTCTTATGGATAAGTGTTGTTGTAACTTCGTGTAATCGCAAATAGGGTTATGAAGTATTATACTGAAGATAGGATTATGAAGTTATCTTTGTAAATTCAATAACCGTTTATAACTGTCAACTGTGGCTTATCAATAGACGCATTGTACTCATAGTGAAGTAGCCCCAGTTAATCACAAAACTCAAGTTCACGTAAATTTATCTTTTATCTTTATTTTCCTACCATCTAACTGGTTGATCGCAATTGCCTTCGGTTATCGTACCTTTAAATTCATTGTCATTTACTTTTTTGTCCAACCCTTCATATCCTTTGTCGATTTACACCTCGATTTATCAATACTTTAAAAGATATTTCGTCAACACTTTTCGGTGAAACAACTTTACGAGAATAATGATTTCGATTTTCAAAATATTTGTTGCACAAAAATATAAAAGTTGGTTTAAATGGTAGATGATGGAAACTCTTACTATCTCATTAGTTTAAGATTAAGTGGATGAATAAAACATATTACAATTTAAGCGAGAGAGGTCAAATTGTGGTCTCTCCATTCGGGAAAAGTACCAAAAAGTCATAAACCTATTGAATTGATATCAATTTAGTCTTAAATTTTTCAATTGGATCAATTTAGTTCTAAACCTTTTCACATTAGTACTAATTGAGTCCATCTGACCAATTTAGGCCGAAAATCGCTGATGTGGATGTTGATCATCCTACGTGACACGGCATGCACTGACGTGGATATTTTTAATAATCTTTTTACAAAAGTTTTCTCTTTTTTTTTTCCCTTTTTTTCCTTTCTTTTTTTTCCTTCTCTTTCTTCTTTGGCATGTGGTCGGAAAAAAGGGAATTTTTTTAAAAAATTATTAAGAAATTCAAAATTTATTAAAATATTTGAAAAAATGTCCACGTTAGCCGACCGTGTTACGTAAGACGACTGGGATTTACATCAGCGATTTCTGGTCTAAATTGATTGAACTGATTGAATTGGTACAAATGTAAAAAAGTTTATGACTAAATTAGTTCGATTGAAAAGTTTATAATTGAATTGATACCAATGCAATTAATTTATAACTTTTATGGTATTTTCCCCTCTCCATTCATGGGAGCAATAGATATACCATGTCCATCACAAGCATCGAGATTTTCTTGTTTATACTTACTAAACAACAGAAATAGAAATACGTGATAGTGTCAATTCTTTCCTATGAAACTGTTTTCCGATCTGATGAACATTTTTTGATCGCTGAGCGCTTCTAATGATCGAGCGGTGTATGCTCGAATAATAAAATTAGATTGCCATTAGGTCATCTAACTCTTGGTTCCTGTTTCTTCAGGTGTTTGAAATGTACGTGCTTAGGAAAAGTGAGGGACCCTAATAAAGAACTGCACGGGTTTGGGTTTGCTCCTACCTTTTCTCCAACTGCATCATCACAAGTTCCCTCCAACTTACATTTATTATCAACCTTCCACTTTTTGGCCTTCTCTCTACATGTTCATCAGCATGATGTTGGTCCTTCTAGTGAAGTACTATTCCAGCTACTATAGATCTAATTTTTCTTCTTTTGCCCATACAAAGGAGCGTGATAGCATATCTACAATGCCAATGGAAATGGCTAATGAAACACACAAAAAGCAATGAATAGTGAGAAATATCATCCGACAGCACTCGACCTCAATGCCCCAATTCTATCCACCAGGCGTCCTCCACAGTCATCTTGCTGCATCAACAAGGCATCATCGAGAAGAGGGGTCAGTGATGGCATTCCGTTCTCATGGGAACAAGCTCCGGGCAAGCCCAAGAAGAGCATCGATGACGTGACGGCGAGCGACTCGGCGAAGGATGCAGACACGCCTTGCCCTCGTCCTCCACCGCAGATGGCCTTGAGACTGAAAGGATATGGTGACGATGACAGTGGCGACGTTTCCTCGTTAAATAATGAAGACGATGTGTTTTCTAATGCTATGGACGTGTTCTCGCTGTCGGAGGCAATAGATATCCTCGAGAGAGCTGAGAGACCGGTACACAGGGCGAACGATAATATTGACCAGCTGAAGTTGAAGATTGCGGAGTCATGCGGCAAGGACGCGTCGCCCAACTTCATGATCAACCGGTTCCTCCCGGACGCCAGTGCATTAGCGTTGGCAGCGGCGTCTTCAGCCCTTACTAATTACCATCGCCATCCTTCCCGTAGCGAGGACGAGACCAAGGACTTGAATTGTTGCAAGAGGCAGGTGAGCTCATCATGTAGGTACAAAGAACAAGAAGTGGTATCATCAAGGAGATCGGCAACAACACAAGCTAGTGGAGCTCAGAAAGGGTGTGGAATGGAGAATCTCTTCCTTTGGCGCATGAAGCCCAGGCTCTGTGGTGATCATAAGACTTGCCATGTTCAGCCCTTCTCTACTGCCAAGCCCAAAAATATGTAATCACATCTCAGATTTTCTCCTCTTTTGGTTTGCTTTTGTTGGATAAACATGAGAAATGCTATTAATTTGTAGTGATTAATAGGTTATGTTGTTCATCAGTATTTCACATACAATGCATCCATGCACAATCGCATTTTTGAATCTTCAGGATTGCGCATACTTTAATTTCTCACGTAACAATTAAGGGGTATGTCCACTAAGAATTAAGATGGTCAAACAAGACCTGGATGTCCAGTTTGTTGTCCCCGTCAGCGCTGGCTGCACCATGTAGGATGGCCGCCGTTCACATCAGCGATTTCTGACCAAAATTGGTCAGATGGACTAATTTATACAAATGCAAAAAGTTTATGATCAAATTAGTCCGGTTGAAAGGTATATGACTGAATTTGCATCAATAAAAAGATTTAGGCTTTTTTACCTGAGTCAGTGATCTGTCAAAAGCCTAAGAAAGAGCTAAAAAGTCGCGGCACCACATGGAAGTCAAGTGGCACATTTGAAGATAACACTCGGTGAATCTCTTTTGTAACTGAAGCAGTTTGCCCTATGCGTGAAGTACAAATTCAGAAAGTTAGAAAGTTCGATTGCATAAACTAAAGCATTTGAGGATCAAATCGCACAAATCTAGAAAGTTAGAGAACTTGATCAAACAGAATAGAAGTTTGGGATCTAATCGTACAAAGCAAAAAACTTATTGGTCTAAACATGCACTTAACCTCCTCTCCTAAACTTCATAAATGTGCGTCCATTGGATTGTGATTTTGGTAGCTGATGATCTATATACGGGACTTCTAGGGAAGAAACAAAATATCGTTTGAGGTCATGAGCTGGAGCTGAGCTACTCAAATTTGAGACTGATCACCATAAGATTAATGTGCGATGAGTAGTGAATTTAGAATAAACTTTTATTATTGCTAGTGCAATTGTTGATTTCCTTCTGGTGGTACTATTGCATCAGACTCGGTTGTTCATCAGAAGGCCGTGATTGTCTACATGCACAATGGTTTTAATTAAGGACCTTTTTATTTTGGCATCGTGACACGTCAAGTTGTGTACCTACGACGTTTACCAAAATCACCATAATTACCGGATCCAAATAACGCTCTCCGTCTGACTTTGCCAATATGATTCGACTACTTTCTCATAGATTCGATCAGCCTTCAAACGGAAACGGAGAAGGCTTTTTGAAGAAAAAGAGGAAAAGATAAGGGAAACATCAGACTCAGAAAAGGACGAGGAAATAACGTACGTGTCGCGAGGCAACGACTCATGGCGACATGCAACGCCTGCATGAGAAGCTCGAGAACACGCGACACTCCCTCCCACAACACTTGCCCTCCCTCTCTCTCTTACTCACTCCCTCCCTCTCCCTCTCTCTCGCCTTGCCAATCTCCCCTGCTGGATAGAGTTTGCGTTTGTGTTGTCTCTGAATAACCATGGCGGAGCATCACCCTTATGGCCAACATCAGTACCAGCACCACCAGCAGCAACAGCCCCTGTCCCATCAGGTGGTCAAGGCTGTGACCGCCGTCACCGCGGGCGGATCCCTGCTCGTCCTGTCGGGCCTGATCCTCGCGGGCACGGTGATCGCGCTCACCATCGCTACGCCGCTGCTGGTGATATTCAGCCCGGTGCTCGTCCCTGCGGTGATCACAGTGGGGCTGCTGATCATGGGGTTCCTGGCATCGGGAGGGTTCGGGGTGGCGGCGGTGACGGTGCTGTCGTGGATATACAGGTATGTGACGGGGAAGCACCCACCGGGGGCAGACCAGCTAGACCAGGCGCGGATGAAGCTGACAAGCAAGGCGCGCGAGATGAAGGACAGGGCTGAGCAGTTCGGGCAGCAGCATCTCACAAGCCAATCGAAGAGGGAATATATAAACGAACCAGTTCATTTGGCGGTCTATATCATGAAATCTTTCTTTCTTTCTTAGTGTGTAATGTGTAATGCAGTGCATGTCGGTGTTGGTCTCTGTGTGCGTAACGTAGAGATCATGAGGACAGATTCTGGGCCCCGACGTGCTGCGTCGTTTTCAATTACTCTGGTCTGTGTGGTTTCTTCTTCTTGTTGTATGTGAGTTTTTGTCAATATTGAATTGATGGACGACAAAGTGTGCTCTTCAATCTTGTAAATCTTTGTTTGGTGTCAATTCATTGGTAAATTAGAATAAAAATCGCATGTAGAAAGTAAAATCTTTACGACCGGTCTTATATAATCCTCTTAGTTGGTGGGTGGATGAAATTTGAATTTAGGTTTAACAAACGTGGAAAATGATTATTTTGGAAAACATTTAAAAAAAAATTGCTTACATAAATGAAAAAGAAAATTACTTATATTGCTTAAATAAATGAAAGAAAATCGAGTTTATGGAGATATTAAGTCACAAATTGTTGTAGAATATTTTTTTATTGATTAATTATTCAAGCAATATAAACGATTATTTTAGAAAAATATTTTTGAAACTACTCATTTTTCACTAAATAAATGGAGCTTAAACCGCAAGTCAATTGCACATTTCAAATCAAAATAACTCAATACTTTGATAGGAATTAATTGATCTCTTTTGAAAACTCTGTTATGCTCATTATTTTAAGAGTCCGTTTGTACTAAAATAATTAGTAGCAGTTCTCGCAAATTAAAATAATTAATCAATAAAAATTATTTTTATTATCAACGAACAATTATTTAAATATTTTTATAGATGATAAAAATATTTTCTTTCACTTCATTTTTATAAGCAATACAAATAATATTTTTAAATATTTATTTAATAAGCATTGCTTACCTAACAAACTTAGGTCCCACCCACCTCGAATCTGACCCTATCCATTTGAGCAGTTTTGCCGACAGTCACCCGATCTACTCTCTTACGATTTCAACCTATCGTTCATTTCTCTTTTACAATTTCCCCTTAATTTTCGTCCAAATTTTGTACCAGCTTAGGTTGTCCAGTGCCGCAAATTACTATATATCATTTTGTTAACTTGCCGGCCTTGGCTGTAATTTTCACCGTAAAGCATATTTATTGCCTCTACTTTATATATGGTTCATATATTTAGATGAACCGTTATGTTTGTACGATATCTCACTTACTTAATCATATCAAGATATACACTTCTCATTCTATTTGTATACAGTAGGTTGATCTTCTTAACTGTAGTGGACAAAGTGTTGGGAAATTTTACATGGTTGGGTAGTGCTTGTAATGGCTTTCATGACTATAATGGTGGAATATGTGGAACCTTGATAATTTTGTGGATTTATGTATTGATACGTGCCCACAGAGACGAAATGGTTAATACGCTAGATTGGGATTGGGTTACAAATTCTCAAATCATGTAGAATACATGTGGTATTTCTCGGGCGATTGAATTGTCCAATTATGAGTATGTAAATATTGAAGCAATAAGTTAGCTAGTATATATTGTATTATGATTGGGATTTTATGAATCATAATAATTTCTCGAAATGATATGTGACATTACCCATTATTTGTTATTTTGTCGTTATGCTCTTTGGTCGAGTGATGAGTAAAATTCTTGTTTTAGACTTGGAGCTTTTATTTATTGAGCTTAAACTCGCTCCAAAATACCCTGTGGATTTGATTGAGTTTGGCATTTGGGGGCTTTTAGATTAGCACTTCTGAATATCACTTTTACATTTAATTTCGAGCTTGCAAACATTTGATTAATTTGAGATGTACTCGTGATTGTATGCATAAAATGGGCAAATCATGTGCAAAACATTATTGCCTTGTTCAAAGTAAACACCTTCATGTCTTGGCTTTCTCACTCCTAGTCCAAATTGACCTCCAACATGTCGCAATGATGGACTTGAGATAAGCCGCATCCTTGAAAATGTTAAAAATGGAGGAACTCGATACTTGTCCTCGAGTCATGGGACAAGACTAGACATATCTCTTCCATTTTTTCTTCGAAGCAAAGTTAGGTCGTCTCAAGAAGACTGGACAAAAGATGTATTAATTTAGCAGCATAATCATTTTCATCATGTTGATCATCATTTTATACTCGATGGGTTGTTTCATGGTCCACCATCTTTTTCTCGTGTCACGATTGCCTAAGAAAACTTTCAGTTATCAGCAGCTAGTTCTATTTGGCAGCTTTCCACGTCACTATCATGTCTCTCATCCTTAGACTACTAAAGTTTAAAATATAACTGAATGACTTTCGGAGTAGCTCAGCTATGAGTGCACACAAGTTTGATCATGTTTTCTTTTGCCTCCGTATCCAGCTCTCATCGATAATTTTCCCATACATAATGTCCATGCACTACTATAGGTGCACTCATAGATATGTCCAAGGTTGTTTGGCTCCCAAGCAAGTGCAAAGATCCGACCCTACTGCCTTCCAGATCACATACCACGGAAGGCACCCGTGCAACGCTCCTCTCGCTGCCATCCCTCCTCCGCCGCCGGCTGAAAACCAAACTGATTCCAATGCCTCTGTCAACGCGGCCCATCTCCAAATCATGCAACTCCAACCCCAATAAAACCAAACCCGATCACCAGACATTGCCTTCGACTTCCGTTAAGGCCACACAGTTATTACTCAGAACTTGGACTTCGGCAATGACAATCACAACATATCTTCTTAGGTGTTTGATTTCCCTTCCATCTTAGATAATATTTTCGGGGTCGTGAGTAGCAATAACGACTTCTCTAGTAACCCTAATTTCCTGTCTCCATCAACCTCCAGGACCAACCACTTCTCGGAGTCTGCAGCTAGGTTGGACAGTGTTCCACATCAGCCCGATTTTCAACGCTCCACAACCCGAGTTTGCTGTGATTGTCTCGGCCGCTACTTCAAGGGACAACTCTCAAGCAACGAGAAAATATTAGGTGCAACTGTGATGCCACGTCATCTCTGCACTAGCCCACTCAGTCGACGACAAGTGAAATTGTGGGGCCCACCGTTAGAAAATAGGAAAGTCTCTCTTCCTCTCTCTACCAGTTTGGTCAGATCTCTTTCCTTCTCTCTCTACAACTCCATGGAACCATCGACTCTCGAGCACTACCGCAGCTCGCCCCCTCCCTGACCACCACCAAAACCCTTGCCGCGAAGGTCACGAGCAAAACCACCATTGCTGCCTCAAGTGCTTCAAGTCCAGCGAGGGCTTGAGCCGGAAGGCCTTCCGGCTTGGCAAGTTCAGAATCACGGATAGCTTCTTCATCAACTTCTTCTCTCTCAACTTTCTCAACTTTCCGACAAAAAAAAAAAAAGCTTCCTCAACTTCAACTCTTCCTCATTGTAACTAATCCCCCTCGATGTCGCGATCTCGATGCCCTACTCAACGCACGCCTTGTCCTCCCAAAGCCTCCTCAAATCCGTAATTTTCAGATTCACTCTCCCAATGTACTCGGCAAACTTCGCCTACGCACTGATCTTTCATAGAACATGCAAGTGGCAGCCATTGATGTGGCCCGATTTTTCCAACTAGACGAACTGCTTGATGAAGTAGTATATCCCCTTGCCGCCGTAGGCGATGGGGGAGAGGCTCATGTCTTTCCCGAAGTCGAGGTGCGAGGCACGGGGAGCGTTCACGTCCTAGTCTTAAACCTTTTCACATTGATACCAATTGACCAATTCAATTCATTCGACCAATTAAGGCTAGAAATTGCTGATGTGGATGCTGATCGTCCTACGTGGCACGACTAACTAATTTAGACATTTTTTTAAATTTTTAAATAATTTTTGAATTATTTAAATATTTTTTTCTTCTCTTTTCCTTCTTTTCTTTTTGCTTTTTTTTTTTCCTTATTTCCCTTGGCCAGTCGCCAGCTCCAAGATGCTGGTAGAGGTTGCCGGCGAGGGCGAGAGCAGGGACGCCCTAGTGGCCATAGGTGACAGCGGTCATCGCCGGCCTCTGGCGAGTGACGAGCGAGGATCTGGTGATTGCTACTCGCGTCGCAGCTCCACGGACATGGCATATTGATGCTTTGGTCCCTTGCTTTGTAATAACAAGCTCCTTTATTTGCCCAACCACTTCTTCTTCTTCTTCGCACTTGCTCTTGGTGTCCATGGCCTCTCTTCGCTCACATTCCAATTCTGTCCCCGATCCTAATCCTACATAACCTTCCTTGCTCCGTTTGCCAAATCAAGTGAGGAGCGACCTCACCCAAGCGAGGCTTGCGATGGCGTCCTAGCCCTTGCCGGTCTCTGTCAAGGGCTTGGCGAAGGTCCCCTCGCCAGGGGACCCTCGTCCAGCTTTTATCGGCCCTTGCCAAAGGCCGGCGAAGGCATCCCGACCCTTGCCCTCGCCGGCGGCCGGCCACCTCTGTCAGCTATTGTGGCGGCTAGCAATTGGTGGAGGGAAATAAGGAAAAAAGAAAAGAAAAGAAGGAAAAGAAAAGAAAAAAAGAAAAAGAAAAAGAAAAAGAAAAAGAAAAAAATTAATAAAAAATTCGAAAAATGTTTATTTTTTAAAAAAAATGTCTACATTAGAGCTAACCGTGCCACGTAAGATGGTCAGCCACGTTAGCAATTGCAAGCGTAAATTGCCTGGATGGACTTAATTTGTACCAATGTGAAAATGTTTATGGTAAATTGGTCAAATTGAAATGTTTGTGACTGAATTGATATCAATATACTAGGTTTATGACTTTTTTGGTACTTTTCCCCACAACTACCATATAAGTCCTTGTACCACCAACATATGCGGTAGGGATAATTGGTTCCCGAGCGGTTTGGTTCCCACTTTGGAGCTGGAAACCGGACCAGACCAGGAGGACCGATTCCCCGTTTCTGGAATTGGGAATCGGAGCAATTCCAGGTGGTTCAATGGAACCGGATGCATCACAACTGACTTACTACCCATGGTTTTGTAATTGATGAAACATAATCAAGTTCATCCATGATAAAAATCCATGAATGCTTCGTGACCAATCCTCCGTAATAGGTAGTGTTTAGTAGGAAAGCAAAGGAACCTCGCTGAGATCGAAGGTAGTGGGCAGGCTCTCGTGGTGGCTTAGCTGCTGCAAGGTGGCCAAATCGTCCTTAGGGACTCTCCTATTCTTCTTTACTCTACTCTTCGTTTCACCAAACAACCACCTTCTTCTTCTTCTTCTTCTTCTTCTTCTTCTTCTTCTTCAACTAGGAGTTTGTGCGACAATTGCTTCAAAATCTTGCATCAGTCCTCCCCGTCGCGAGCCTTTTCGTGCCTTATGTGCACGCACTACACATTTTGTAGCCCTACCTGTCACTTCGTCGCCATTGCAACGTCGTACACCCCTTGGGTCTATCAAGTGATGTCCCGCTTGATTGCTTGCCCTCTGCTCAACGTTTATCCTCTCAAACGCCAAGTCCAAGCTCAATTTCGGATCGCCGCTTGCAATCTCGTGATTGTCTCTCCTACTAAGAGAGTGATCGAGAGAGTTGGGAGTCGTGAGTGACAGTCAAGCGAGAGAGGCGCGAGAGGGAAGGAGTGATTAAGATTTGTGATGCGAAAGAGGCGTGAGCCATGTGAGAGCCGAGAGGGAAATAGCGAGTATGAGAGGGAACAAGTGATGGGAAAAGCGAGTGTGAAATGTGTGATTGTGATTAGGATTTCGGGTTTCTTTAAAGATTTTTAAAAAATAAAAAAAATAACCGGTTTGGGTGGGCGGTTCCACCCTTGGAATTGAAAACCGGACCGAAAATCACCAGTTTCAATTTATGGAACTAGGAACCGCCTAAAACTGGCCGATTTGGTCCGATCTAGGCACTTCTCATTGCTCACCCCTAATATTTATAGCCCACATTAGTTGGGTTGATCGGTTCCAGGGTGGGTAGGGTCCAGATCTGGAACCTGAAACCTACCCTGTTTTCCCTATACCCTGTTTTGGAACCTGTTTTTCCTGTCCGGTTCCACGTCTACCCGATAACCTGTTTTTTTTTTCTTTCAGAAATTTGGAGCAAAATAAACAATCCACAAGCACCTTCTTCCTAAACACCAAAATCCCAACCCATCCCCTCGGAAACTTCTCGAAGTAAAAGAGCGGCTTTGATGAAGGACACGACAGGCAGTGACAACAGATCTAAAGATCCATATTGTCCCTCTCCAATCTTGCAAATCATCCTCACCCAGGCTATTCAAACACAAGGCTTGGTTAATCAAAGAAGGGGCCTGGTCTAAGGTCATCTCAACTGCTTTTTTAGCAAAGGGGAAGATGGGAACATCAGCCACCGTTGCCGATTCACTTCGAGAACAGAACCAGAGCACAAGATTTCAAGCGGCGGCAAATAATCCAAGGTCTGGGGTCACTGAAACTCGGACTTAGGCAAGGGGAGAGTATCGAAATACAATATGCGACGTGCACAGAACATTCAATTCCCTTCCCTTTTCGAGCTCTTTCACGACACTTCCTCGTCACAAGCGATTCGATCGTTCTCGTCTCTTTTCCACATCGATTCGTCGTCACACAGAAATCACGCGCTCTAAAAACAACAGTAGTAGTGGGAGCGGGATCGGGGGGGGGGGGGGGGAACCGTGAGCCGACCTTCGCGGCGGCGTAAGGGTTGGACGAGCTGGGTTGCGGCGACTGAGGTGGCGAGCAGCCGCAGCGACGACGAGTTGGGTTGTGGCGATTGAGGCGGCGACGAGGGGCGACAAGCTGGGTTCCGGCGATGAGCGGCAACGAGCGGCGTTACGGCGACTCAGGTAGCGAGCATCTGTGGCGACAAGTTGGGTTGCGGCGAGCAGCCGCGGCGACGAGATGCTACGAGCTGGGTTGCGGCGAACAGCCGTGGCGAAGAGCGGCGAGCAGTCGCAGCGACAAGTTCTCGCGAGCAAACTGAGAAGGGCCAGAAGAAAGGGGACTCGCAAACTGGAAGAGGAGGGAGCGACTGAGAGAACAAATGCTACTTAAAACCGGTTCTAAAACCGGTCCAAGTGGGTTTTCACTTAGACCCGGGAACCGGACCGGTTCCAACCGGTTCCGAAAAAAATAGAACCGTTTCCCGGACCGGTTCAAACAGGAACCGGTTCCCGGACCTGTTTTTTGGGTGGGCCGGTTAAACCCTATCCGGTTGCACACCCCTACACATTAGATAGTTACAATTTCTTATTAAATTTGAATTAACAAATACATGGGGAAAAATACCAAAAAAGTCTTAAATTTATTGTAATTGTGCCAATTTAGTCCTAAACTTTTTCATAATTGAGTACATCTGATCAATTTTGGCCAGAAATCACTGATGTGGACATTTTATAGGAATATTTTTATATTTTTTCATTGTTTTATTCTTTTCTTTTTTATTATTCTTTCTTCCTTTTTTTTTTTTCCTTTCATTTTGGTCGGTGAGGGCCAACAAGCCCTCGCCGGCCGTTGGCGAGGGTCATGGCCTTGGCTAAATCTAGCGGCAGGCGAGGTGGCACTTGCCTAGATTGGGCAAGGCTTCACAGTCGGCAAGGGCCTCGCCCAAATCTAGCAAGGCCTTTGCGCCCTTACCCAGATCTGGCAAATGTCTGGGCGAGGAACGCAACCCTCACTAGTAGCTGACGAGGATAATGAAAGGAAATAAAAAGAAAGAAAAAAAAAATAAAAAATTCAACTTTTTTTCTAAAAAAATTGTAAAAATTGTTTATGTCAGCATCGACTGTGCCATATAGATTGGCGTCCACGTGAGCGATTTTCGGCTAAAATTGACTGATAGAACTTAATTGGCAAATTGTGAAAATGTTTAGGACTAAATTGACATAATTGAAAGTTTTAGAACCGAATTGACACAATTACAATAGGTTTAATACCTTTTCGGTACTTTTTCCCAAATAACTTCCTAATTTATCTGCGATTACAAGAAGATATACAATGCGCGATTTTTTATTATTTAGCAATACTTATCTACAAGAAGTTATAAAAATCTTAAATTAGTGGCTATAGACATAACCACTTTACTCATAAGTTATGTTTATGCATCAGATTATTCGTTGTCAATGACTTTGTCGATAACTTGTTAAGTCTTTATGAAGGCCCTCGTTGATAATTTTCATGTAGTGCTATCGTTGACTTTATTAGCAAGTTGTTGATTCCTTTTAAGTTGTTCACTATTATGTTCATATTGACGATTCCTTTCAAGTTGTATACTTTCCTGTTCATTGGTGATTTCCTTTTTCATCGAATTTTATTCTCATCGATTAAAGTTCATCGCTTGTCGATAATAACGTAAAGATTGATTACTTTTTTTTTTTAGTGTTTGATAGATATTGACTATGACCCATCTTAACCACCGCCCGCAGCGGCTGCGTTGGCTTGTGCTCTTGTCCCCCCACGAAGGGATCGGAGTTCGAACCATAGCGTAGTCGTTAGGGATTCTTAAGTGTGGCGCCGTGGTGGTGGGTTCTGCGCTAGCGTCACTCCAGGTTTACCCCTCCGGCTGTCGGCCGTGCGGGAGGTTCCTGGGTTATAAAAAAAAAAAAAAAAGACTCTGACCCACCCTATAATCTAAAGGCCGATCCCAAATTCTGCCATGTCACTAGATTAATGCATGTGTATATATATGCGCACACGTAGGATTGCGCCACATCGACGGCGACAAAAGAAGGGCCACGATCCAAAGTCTGAACAGTGTAAAAGTGGGCATGCGAGACACAAGTACACAGTCCCGATCGGTGGTGGCTCAAAAGCTGGCCGATTTTCTTCAGAATCACCTCACAACTGTCTCGCAGTGCCCACTCATGTTCTCCTGATGTCGCCCTTACGTTAACTCTGTCTCTGTCTCTGTCTCTGTCTCTCTCTCCTTTGTTCTTTCTTTCTGACCTCACACACTGACTGTCCGATTGGGAGGACGTTGTCCGTTACGGTCAAGCTCACATGGCCCAAAACCGACAAACCAACAAACGTCGAGTTCACTTGTAACCTCGCACATTGGTTAAGACAAGACTTAGCTTAGAGTTCCCTTCTAATTCCGACCCAACCCATTTTCCTATAATTGAATCCTCTCTCTTTCCCTCTGGTTCCACACTCATCCACACCCCCCCCCCCCCCCTCTCTCTCTCTCTCTCTCTCTCTACATGTATAATTCAGAAGTGTGTTGGTATCTTTTTAGTAGTTTCTTCACCATTATCTTCTTATTTCATTGATCTCTATCTCCCTCCCGCCCTCTCTCTCTCTCTCTCTCTCTCTCTCCTTGTCAATTACGCCATAATTATCCGTAACATTCAATTCAAGACTATACACATTTCACGTGGGCCATTTAAATTTCTTTGCTGCTATTTGATCTTCCTCCTTCCCTTCTGTTACAGATTACTCTCTGTCTGCGCACTCTCTTCGGTGGGGGTCGTTCGTTTCATCTCATCCACATATATATGACAGTGATCTTCCTACGCGCATGAACTCTCCACTCAAACCCTAGGGCTGATAATAGTACTATTTGCACACCACGGACCCCAGACACTGCCATCTCTTTGAACGGTTTGTCGCCTGCATGCACACATTGTTCGCCTTTCTCTTTCTTCGGAGACCAAAGAGAAATCGAAGAGGAAGAAAGATTCGGTCACTCCTCAGACGACGTCGTGTAACATGTTGAAAGGAATCAAGAATCGGAATGGTGGTCGGGATTTCTCCGATGACCCCGCATGCAACAAGTTGGACGAGATTTACAACTCGGACGAGTTTCGCATGTACGCGTACAAAGTGAAGCGCTGTCCCCGGACGCGAAGCCACGACTGGACGGAGTGCCCCTACGCCCACCGCGGCGAGAAGGCCCAGCGTCGCGACCCTCGCAAGGTCCACTACGCCGCTGTCGCCTGTCCCGCCTTCCGCGGCGGCAGCTGCCTCAAGGGCGGGTCCTGTGAGTTCGCCCACGGTGTCTTCGAGTACTGGCTCCACCCTACCCGGTACCGCACGCGTGTGTGCAACGCCGGCGAGTTCTGCCAGCGCAAGGTCTGCTTCTTCGCCCACTCGCCCGACCAGCTCCGCCCCGAGACCAAGTACAAGTACGCCCACCCGCACCGGTCGCGTGCGGCGGAGATGGATGGATCACGGAGTGCCACGCCGGCGAGGACGCCCGGGTCGGCGAGAGGGAACGTCGAGGAGCCTGACGTGGAAGTGGGTGTTGGAGTGTCGGGTCTTTTGAAGAAGAGCCTGAGGAGATTGAGCGTAAGAGGCAGTGACGACGATGGTGATGGTGAATTGGAAAAGGTGAAATCTGGGTGGGATGCCTCGGTTTTGGATTTATCACATCTTGGTTGGATCTCCGATTTAGTGGATAATTAGCTAAGTTCAACAACATTAAATTAAACCAGGTTGTACCCTGGAGATGTCCTAGCCTTTGTAACTGGATTGTTTAGATTCCCCATGCATGAGCCATGTCGATTAAATCTCGCTCTTGTTACATCGGTTTCGATTTCATTCCCTTTTTTGAATGGAACTGCCAGCTGGGCCGAGAAATTTGATCCGAACAAGGCAAAGGGATTATACAAGGATTTTATTTTTCAATTTGGGTAACTCAATCGGTTACATACATATATACATGGGTTTTATTTTTTATCTTTTTGACAGATTATCACTTTTAAATGCCTTCCTGATGTTTTATATCACCCATCAATATGATGTTCGGGATTTCTTAATCCGGGCCAAATTACCTTATCCAACCGGGATTCTCCATTCAAATGCGAAACGAATACAAGCATATCTATCTCGAGTGATAAAGAGTTTCACTCTATCTAGAATTGATCGTGTTCATGCAATCAAATCCAGACGTGATTACGAAGCATCATTACGATGGATTATATATGATCTAGATAGAGATCATCTACATTTAGCGTGCTTAATCTCTCCTCGCCCCCCTTTTATACCACAACAATTTTTTTTTTCTAAACCTCCTATCGTAAAAGAATATACTTCTAAAAAAGAAAATGGAAGATGGCCTGTATCTAAAAATTGTCCAAAACCAGCTAGGTTTACCTAGTTGGGTGTGTGAGTCTCATCCAGTGATTTTAGAGGATCCAGCTTATTATCTGATTCATTGAATTTTGTTAAGCCACTTAAAGATAACGAAAGCCAGCAATGTCTTAAGTTATTTTTATAGGAGAGAGAGCAGGCATCAGATATCCTACTCCTGATCGTTATATAAAAGAAAAGTGAGAGATAAAAGATTGCGCGAGAATCCCGACCATAACCATCGTCCTCTCCGTTTGTAAATCCGACCATAAACCCTCGTAGGGACCGTGCGCAATTGGGTTTTGTTCGATTTTTGGTTCCAGAAACTGATGCGAAAGGGTTTTGAAGCTTTGTTTCTCAGCTAAAAAAGAGAGAAACAAACAGATGGTGAAGGAAGCGACAACGTGCGGGGGTCGAAAGTGTTCGCATTGTGGGCACAATGGTCACAACTCGAGGACGTGCAACGGGAAGGGGTGTGTGAAGCTGTTCGGCGTCTACGTGTCGGAGAATTCGCGAACGTCGATGAAGAAGAGCTCGAGCGCTGACAACATGAGATCTTCGTCGTACAACAAGAGCTCGGAATTAGCTGCGGCTGATCCACCTGGTTATCTCTCTGACGACCCCAATCACCATTCTCAAGAAGCCAAAGCTGCTTGTGAAAGGAAGAAAGGTGTGTGCTTTTCTTTTCTTTTTCAAGAACAAAAAAGTAGATGTGATTCTGCTCTCTTATTATCCTTATGGTGTTATGGCAACAGAAGAACAAGAAATAGAGCAAGAATAGATTGTTTGTTACGGTAAACCTGTACGTCTGATCTTCATCATGATGCACCTGACGGTAGCTAGTTATGACTGAGAATAGATCCTAATAATTGAAATTCTAAAGATTGACTGAAGCGGTTCTGGTCCGGAGTTGTGAATTAGAAATGACAAGTCATGTTCGGAACGAGCAAATGTGGAGAAATTTGTTCACTTTGGGCTTTTGAAAGTTTCTCAGGAAAACCATGGAGTGTGGAGGAGCATGTGACATTTCTGGAGGGTCTGAAAAAGCTTGGGAAAGGGGATTGGAGAGGAATCAGCAAGAACTTTGTGCCCACCAGGACGCCAACTCAGGTGGCGAGTCATGCCCAAAAATACTTTCTGCGACAGGTCATCAACGACAAGAAGAAGCGCCGGACGAGCATGTTTGATTTGCATTCTCAAGACCATGACCATGTAATCTCTCTCTCTCTCTCTCTCTGTAGAACATTTAAGACGAATCTGGTTTATATTTAGAACTAGACTAATGTGCTATATCGTGTGTTGGAAAAACAAAGAATTGGAAGGACGATTCGATCTCATTTCTTGACTTCCAATGCAGGATGATGCCTCTCCAGATTCTACGGTCACACTTCCAAATAACGTTACGGAAGCCACAACATCACATTCACAGGCATGCCTCTAGAACTCGTAAGAACTAGCATTTTCCTCAATATTCATTGTTTGAGGCTTAAGGTCTTCAGCTCTATTGTTCCAGGCAATTACCTCATCAAAATCTCTAGATGTTGCAGCACAGGTGAGTGTAGCTTTCTTTGTCTATTTAAATGAACATGCAAGAATCGTAAATCTGTCGCTAATGTTCTCTTTTGTCGATTATTAGAAGCAGAATGCTCTGCAAGTGGTGGACCAGTTTCCAGTTCTTTCCTTGGATAATTCTTCTGTTGGACCATGCCCGGTAAGAACAATTTGTTCATATTCTATCTTATGTATAATTGGTTTATATAGTGGAAAATTCATTGCTTATTGTTAAGGTGTATGAAGGAGCTTATTTACTTTCCTTCCCTGAACTTCGATGTTCTTGGTGCTAATTCTTCATCATAACTACCTCGATACGGTCATCTTGATTCCCACAGATTTCAAACACTCAAAACTCTTGAATGTTACAATTTCATGACATCAAGTTGAGTTTTCACTCATGCAAAAGCAGGAAACCCAGAAAGTACTCTGTATTGACTGGTTGAAGTGTGGTGTTTTACTTGTGTCTCAAAGAGAAAGATTAGGCGTGTATCGTTCTTCTTCTTTCGAACAAATGATATGCTTTCTCATTGATATCCGGAAGTATTAACCATACTAATTGTGCAGGTAGGAATTCGGATGATACAGCCAAATTTCCCACCACCAGATTGGAATTTTCCCTTATCATCATATTACCCGATGGGAAATTTCCGGAGTTTTATGCCCGGAAGCTTTCACACTTATTTGAACCATCAAGTGCAGCGCCCTTACATTCCTTTACCTTCGAACGTTGCATCTCAAGCTCGGATTGATCTTCCAATGTCATCAGCAACACTACGAGATCCCACGGAACTTCAGCTCGGAGGATCGCAATCCCCTGAAGAAGCGAATCGACAATCTTCCAAATCGGTGGCTTCCATACAAGTGAAATGACATGAACCTCTTTTTATCCAAAAGCAACTTGGAGAATGAGTACGCATATATTTCAGCGACAGATTGCAATAGACTCAACATTTTTGCATCGCCTGGTTGGTACAATAAGTTAATTCATTCATAGGATAGAGGAACTCTTAGACTGAGATGTATCAATGTTGCATATTTGTTAAATTTTTCATTCCATTCACACTGAAAAGAGTTGAAACTACTACTTTTTGTTCTTAAAACTAAGCTAAGATGAAGCTAAGATGAAAAACCGACAAGCTGGAGAAGAGCCTAGACAGCTACTTCTCAGTCCTAAGCGTCCTGATGAAGCTCTTGCCCTCTGCAAAATCACTGGCGGGCAAGAAATTCAGGAAATCCCGGAAGCTACTCTCATGATAACCCATTGGGTGGTGCTCACTCACCAGCTCTTTGGCAGTGCCCATCTTCTCATCCATGCCCAAACTGTGGAGGCTAGTAATAGAGATCCTTGTCCTCTCAGTGTTCAAAATAGCCCTGTGGACCAAACTTTTGTACAAGCCATTACTCAGCACTTCGATATGGTCGCCAACATGAACCTGCAGGGCACCGCCGATTTTGGGTAACAGTTTCCACGAGCTGCCGTCCTCGACATCCATGACTGGAGGCCCGGCGAGCTCTGTAGCAGGACTGTTAGGCAACCGTAGACAGAATGTGCAGGGAGTCCTAGCGCAAGGTCTGGGTTGGGGCATGGTGGGTAACAATTGACAGCCATCACTTGCATGCCATGGGACATTCCGGGGGTGAGATAGGCTGATCCAATGCCCAGGCTCTCTGTGATGGCTTCCGTGAGCTCCATTGCCACTCTTCTCACCTGTGCACAGTACTTTCCCATCTTCTCTCTGTAGTGAGATGAGGCACATTAGTAGCAATTTAGCAATGCATTATTTTGCTCCTTGAGTAACACCGCAATGCAATGCGAAATGGCAACTTATTCGGACCTAAGAAACGAAGCCCTTGGCCTAATTACTGGGATCAAATTTCACGTCGTACACATGTTTCAACTCGGTCATCGGACATAAATGTAATTGCCATAGTGGTTTAGGCCTGAACTCTTGGCTTGTCCTATGGTGTTGAACAGAAAAAAAGAAGCGGTACAAATTCAAATTGAGTTGACAACGTATATCAGGTTTGGCAAGAAGTTTTAGAACATTCTAAGACCCGAAAATAAAAAAGGAGGATGAACATAGATGTGGCTACAAGCAGACGCTACACTAAACACCACATGCTACTAAATGTGGAAAAAATGCGATATAGGTGAATATATGTCAAGCTTGTCCAATGAAGGTACAGTTTGGCGCGTTAGATCACATGATATGAAATTCAATGACTCAAATGAAAGAAATCTCAACGAACCGACACCAATAGTGAAATCTACTGTCAGTCCATACACCGAAAAATGGCGGGTGTATGATGCCATAAGATCAAATGAAAAGTACCTGTAAGCAGGCGGGTTTTCAGGCCAAGAACCGATCCAATCTTGCAGTGGATGTGCATAGTGCTTGAGGAAGAGCCTCCAGTATTGAGTCCTCTCAACTCCCTCCTTAAAGTTAAAGCCGGTCCGGTATCTCACTGGCTTGTGTACGTCGCCGGACATTAACTTCACCTTCTGTTCCATAGGTTGATTGAAGAAGCTTGAAGCTGCAGAAATAGCTTCCTCCAGTACTGATTGGCAAATCCCATGGTTGACGACTTTTGCCATACCCAACCAAAAAAAAACACTTCGAGTTAATTCATTGCCATTATTCTGTTTTGGCCAGTACGAAGGAACGTGTCCACAAATAATGCCGTACTTAGGATGCATACATGAATGATCATTCTCGATATTAACAAACAAAATATCGCACTAGCGTCGTCCTGATCATAAATACGCATATCGATACATATGTCTTTCGCACACTTTTTAGTAATAACGTCTCACGATAATATTGTCGTATCGAGGGGTCATTGGACATTTTCATACGAGATAATTTAAGATGTTTAGAAATGAGAAATGAGTCCTGATGGAGCTCCTAGAGAACCGACATGCGAGACTCTCAAGTCTTGGAGGATCTAACAGAAACTTTTAAATTAGTGGCTATGCCATGCTCGAGATCCTTTTTTTTTTTTGCCTGCATTTTTTACTTGTTGGGCCGTTACAGTTGATGAGACTAGAAGGAGCTAATTTTGAGCTAAAAACTAACGGGGAAAATTCCAATGCGACGACAAGCATGTCCAATGGCTTCCACTGCCGTGGAGCGCTGCGCTGGGCTCTCTTTCAACTCACTCAAGTCAATGATGGGAACGTCGGCGGTCTCAGGGGACAGATTCGGACGATGTGATGACGGAACGACATAGCGTTTCGGTACATGGGCTAAACCGCTTCCTCCATCGGCGCTCTCCAGGACTCCGGGCACTGCATGCGAGCGCTCCCCTCCCTCCATTGCCAAGAAGGGCAAGCATCAACCCCGGAATTGTCAAATGGGAAAGAAAGGTGGTGTTGGTGGTGATTCTTGTTGTTGATTCTGGGTGTTGCTGACTGTTGTGGAAGAGGAAGATATGGTGGCTCTGGCCGGCGACAATATGGCCAAAGTTCTGGGGTTTATCTAGAAGATTGAGGACGAGGGGGGAGGGGGGCGGGGCGGTGTTGTGGTCTGTATGTAGTCGCTTTGGCAACCTAGCCGACTCAGCCATTCTTGCTTATCCGTATGAAGATTTTTTGAGGATTCGATTTCCATAGACATGGCCAGGAGACACTGGCAATTAATGAAGATCTGCCCTAATCTTGGAATCACTAGATGACGAGAATTCACCACATTCGTTTTTCTTTTTCTTTGGCTCGTAATCATATTTGCATTCACTTAGTCTAATTAATTTGATAAAAAAAGTTCTTATTATGATGTCTGTCACATATATAAAAAGAACATGTTCTCTACTAACTATCATCGACCTTGGAAAGACTACGAACCGGAGAGATCGATGAATCAGGATGGCAAGAACAAATCTTAAGTTCCACCCACGAAAACACAATCTGAACTCAAGACAAATAAGGATTTCCCGGCTGCTAAACTTTACAGGAACTTGTTCCATGGAAGCACATCTCTACTGAATTTCAAATGAAAATGCTTATCTTGACTTACTCGTTCACTCCAATATAAAATTGAGGTTATCATTCCCATGACACTTGTTGGTTTGTGAAGACGTGGGTGGCTGCATTAAGACTTCCCCCGGGCCGATATAGGGAAATGCGGCCGTAAGATGGCTCGGGGAGATGGCTTAGTGGAGCTACGTAAAAGCTGACCCGGACATCAGTTGATCGCAAAGCTAGCGATCAAATAAAAAGAAAGTGATTTTCAAACTCAAGCATGACAAAGGATAACAAACATACCATCCGGGCAATTTGATTGGTCGTGTGATCAGCACATAAAATAAATTTCCATGCAAACACAGCTCAAATATGTTGAAGTTGGCGAATACTTCGGGGACTCTTGTTTCTCACATAGGGTACGCCCACGTGAGCTTAGGGAAACTGAAGTGTTATCCGACGACATGTGACCCCTGCGTGTGGAATGCAGGGGTTCAGGGGCAGCGCCCCCGACACGGGTGTCCCGCTGCCCGGTCAGCGGGCGGGGGTTCGGGGGCAGCGCTCCCCGACAGGGGTTCCGCTGCCCAGTCAGCGGACGGCTGCCCCGCTCGCCGGTGAGGGGGCGGGGGCAGCGCCCCCGAAACCTCAACGGGTTTGGGCTTTTATTTAAGCTGGCCAGTATGGTGCGAGATTAAGAGATTTCGTATAGGTTTAGGTTTTGGGCCCGTTTGTGGCACATATATATTTTGCTCGTTTTTCTGATCATTGTAACTAGTTGAGTGGCTGTAAATCGAAAATATAGTGAAATCTCTTTGCATGACGTAGCCCTATTCGAGGGTGAACCTGGGTAAATTCGTGCATCGTCTATTTTCTCTGATTTCTGCGTGATCGTTCTGTTTCGGTTCTCGATACGTCCCTTCAAAATAAACCCACCCAAAACTGACATTTTTTTTAATCTGTTCAAGAACAAATCAAATTTCGTGGCCTCAGTGGAATGAATGATTCATAAAACACGTCGACACTATATCTAGTGATCCCTAAAATAGTGTACGCTCTCCATTAAATTCAAGTGGATCCAAAAAGGGAAACGACGAAATCTGCAGTAAGTTTTGCTAAGAACAGAACAAAAAATGAATACCGTTCCATTAGATTATTTACGTGATAGTCTTTAGTATTTACAGTAATTTCACAATTCTCCACCTTACAAGTTACTACCATTACACTCTCAAAAACCGTTTGCCTACTTCGTGAAATGAGTATCTACGATCTCCTTCCACGGACCGCTCTCTATGGGCTCGGTTGTTTTCTGGTCCAGCTCAATAGCCGAAGTAGTATCACCCTCGGAAAGTTCCTTCTTTTCCTTGTTAAGTTTTTCTGTCGCCCAATTTCAGGTAAGAAAATCTCGTGGCTACCTTCATAGAGTTACCAAATATGTTCTACGTTTTCTAGAGACTAGTTTGAACATGTACCAAAAGTTCATGGACCACATTGAACAAATTAAAAGTTCACGGAGCACATTTCACATTGGGCTAAAGTTCAGAGACCACATTGCATATTAATCAAAGTTTAGGGACCATTTATGTATTTTTCCTTTTAATTTGGATAACATGAATATGGAAAGTACCTTTATTCCTTTCAAAGTTGGCGTAAATGTAGGTAATTGTAATCTGGCTCTACTTCTTTCTACCATTGTCCTTTTTTTCCAATAAAGGGGATAGAGGAAGGTGGTTACTTTCGTCTATTTGCTTATTTCATTTCTCTTCTTGACTCTTTTTCTTTACACATTCAACCAACGAAATCATTATCCAATTTCTCCTCTTCTCCCTTCGTTTTCCACAAAACAGTCCTGCTGACAAACGACATCTCAAGTCTCGCCTTTGTCAAATAGTTTTTTTTTTGTCAAATAGTTCCTATCGCGTGATTCACATAAATGGACACTCACCTCAAATTGAATGCGCCGTCATCCGATGCAGAGCTTTATGTCATCTTATATAACTCGATAATTTTGACACGAAACATCACGTTGCCTACGGAAAGAGAGACATGCCCCTGTCGACAATCTAATTTGTTACTTTTACGGCATGAGAACCGATTTTCACATTAGTCCCTTTGCATAGGGTCAAACATGAAAACAGAGGCGTTGGGAGGTGTTTAACTGCCTACAACCACAACGGGCAAAGCCCCCCACCCCTTCACCCACTCCTACCAACTCTCCGTTCTTAGCGGAGATTTTCTTCCCTCAGATTTGAGCCGCATCGGGCATTCCATTGCCTTTTCTCTTTTTTAAATTCGTTCTTCGACAATCACATAAACAAACTCCTAATCTTATTACACCTAATTATCACCCAATCGATCTTATAATACACTTCCTCCTATCTTTTGAAAAACGAAAATAGATGGTCAATCCGAAGACATTATGCAAGTCTCGTCACGCTTGTCCCCGAGAGCTGAATTATTAAGTTAGATGATGAACTCGATCTCACATGGAAGGGATATGAAGTGCGTGAGAATTACTAATCATTTATTTTGATGATTATTAGGCAACTATTTAATTCTCAACCCGGGACGAGTTAGCCCAACAGTTTCTTTATTAGAAGTTAGGTAATCTAATCATATAAGTAGCTGGCCATACACACTCCCACATATATCATCAACCCCATTTGCTCCAATCCCTTCTTGTTCCGTGTGATCAATCCTCGAACTCAAAAATGGCAAAGCTGCTTCCGATTTGTATCGTCCTCGTCCTCGTCCTCGGCGCCATAGCTTTGACATGCAACGCCACCACTTACACGGTGGGAGACACCTCCGGCTGGGACATTAGCACCGATCTCGATTCTTGGGCCACAGGCAAGACCTTCACTGTTGGCGACGTTTTAGGTAAATTTTACGGACACATCGTCCCTTGATTTGGTCATAATTTCTATGCAATTAGAAAGATCACGATTCTATTCCATACCTCTACCGAGCAGATGGAAGTAGTCATACTTTGCAAATCATAATCTTCATGTGTCTTTCCACAAAAACCAATGCGAACATCACTAGATTTAGTAATTGGAACATAAATGTTTGAACCACGAAGATTTGATTGTGAAAAGTTTTTTTTTTTTTGGGTCCTTGCCATCTCGATGGTTGAAGTGTTTCAGTACTCGTCGTCGGAGAGCGTGGAAGAAGTGAGCAAAGAGAGCTATGACAACTGTACCACGGCAAATGCGCTCCAAACATACTCGAACGGCAACACGTCGGTCCCGCTCGCGAGACCCGGCGCGTGGTACTTCATACCCGGCAACCGGATGTATTGCCTCGGAGGGATGAGGCTCCAGGTCAACGTGGTGGGCTCCCCAGCCGCTTCGCCTGCCGGCACCCCGCGAGCGGCTCCCGGGCCGGGTGCTCTAACCCGACCCGGTTCAAAGAGCGACGCCCCATCTACTTCTTCTTCAAATGGGCTTCTCCATGCTCGGAGTTATAAGATTGTTTCTGCTTTGATTGGCCCTGTAGCCGCTGTGCTGTGGGTGGCCCATTTATAATTATTTTATCATCTATGAAATCATATGCGTTCATGTTTGTCTTATTTGAGGGTATTGTTGTTCCGGGTTTTTGGACAGAGTTATTGAAACATTATGGTGCACTCAAAATGGCAAAATTGCATGCTTTTACTCCAGCTAGTGCGATAATCACCTAAGATCTTACAAAGAGGACGGAGGGGATCTAAGTCCAGATCTAAACACCATCTTCTTGCTGTAAAAAGAGGCTACCCAATGGGCACACCTGTTATGCATCCCTACGAACTAGACGGAAATGCAGAGATGGGAAAGACGCTGCTTCCTAATGTCTTCAGTTGTTTTCCAGTCGCAAGTCCCAGTTTGACAGGAGATGCTTTCGTGATGCTGCTTCTGAATCCATCTCAATGCAGACTCTTTCCCAGCTTTTCGACATTGCAAGCTTAATACCTGCCCAAACAGCCAGCCAGCGCTTTAGTTACTTCTTCATCAATGGCTTTGACGATAATCCCAGTACCTCCAACGAGCCCCCCTTATATGAAGTTCTTTCCCTTCTCCTTTTATGAAGTTCTTCTTTTTGGTTGTAGCAATAATTCCTGGGAAAGTGTGGTTTCGTTTCTACGCTGTGCGCAAAGAGGTGGAGCTCATTGACACCTGTATTGAACCGAGGTAACAATGAGTATTCATACATTTATGGAGAATTCACTCCTAACAAGAGAGAGAGAATGGCGAGAGGCGGAGGAGGATCCCGAGAGCTATGGTCTTAGATTAGTCGTGGGAGCAATGAAGAAAAGAAAGTGTCAATTTGGTAAAATAAAATGAGATACTTTGTAATTTGCTTGTATTGCTCAATGTACAGTACAAATATTTATACAACATATTGCTTAACAGAAACTGGACAGAAGAGATCTATCAAATATATCTGACTAATTATAAAAGATATACTAAATATTATGCTAACTAAAGATAAAATGTAAATCTTAACTAATAATAAGAGATATACTAAATATTAGAAAAACAAGATGTAAATCTTTAACAAATTTTCCGTAATACTCCCCCTCAAGTTGGCATGTGGAGATCACGATTGCCCAGCTAGTTGATGAGAAATGCAAATCAATCTTGACCTAATGCCTCAGTAAAAATGTCTGCCGGTTGAAGTCTAGTGGGTACATGCTCGATTCTAATAGCGCCCGATTGTACATGTTCGTGAACAAAGCAGCAGTCGATCTTGATGTGCTTTGTTCATTCATGAAATACCGGGTTTGCCGCGAGTGTAAGGCAGCTTGGTTGTCGAAATAAAAGACCCATTGGTTTGTCGTGCAATACTCCGAAGGAGGCAAGTAAAGTGCGTAACCAAATCAGTTTTACTAGTGGCAATTGCCATAGCGTGATATTCAGCTTCAGTAGAGGACTGAGAAACTGTTATTCGCTTTTTGGTTCTCCAAGATATGGGACAACCATCGAGCATGACACTCAGGGTGCGCATGAATACCATTCTGTGCTCGGGAGCTATTTCTGAACAGAAATGATTTTTTTTTATTCTGTGCCCGGAAACAATTTCTGAGTATTTGAAGGCGTTTGATAAACTGTCCAAAATTTCTATTCCTAGAGTAGAAAAGAATAGAAATGCGTTAGATAACTATACAAAATTTCTGTTCTCAAATAATATTTTAATAATATTTTGAATTGTTTAATTTTTTTTCTTTTTACCCATTTTCTTCTTTGGCCATGGCCGGTCGCCGGCGACCGGCCACAGCCCAGGGCCGGCGAGGGCGTCACGGCCCTCGCCGGCGGAGGTGAGGGTCGCCCTCGCCGGCGAGGGCGAGGGCTGGACCCTCGCCGTCTCTGGGCGAGGCCGACCTCGCCGTCGCGACCGACGGCGAGGCTCGACCTCGCTCGATCCGGGCGAGGCCGCCTCGCCCGGGCGGCGAGGGTCCAGCCCTCGCCCTCGCCGGCGAGGGCAACCCTCGCCTCCGCCGGCGGCCGGCGAGGCAACCTCGCCTCCGCCGGCGGCCGGCGAGGGCCGTGACGCCCTCGCCGGCCCTGGGCTGTGGCCGGTCGCCGGCCGCCGGCTCAGCCAGGGAAGAACAACACAAAAATAAGAAAAGTAAAAAAAGAAAAAGAAGAAAAAAAACTCATTCTCAAAATTGTGCCGAGAAACAAGAAGCAACTTTTTTTTATTTCTTGTTTCTCTTCCAAAACTGTTTCTCGGCACAAATTTTTGCAAAAATGTGCCCAGGAATAAAAAAATTTACCAAACGTATTTCTGTTCCCAAACTATTTCTGGGAACAAAAGAACAGAAATTTTCACTATTTGGCACGTTACCAAACGGGCCCTCAGAGTCATGGGCAGATTGCCCAATCGGAGTCATGAAAGGTAGTCAAGTGAAGCGAAGCTGAGACCAATAGTAGGATCCCTTGTCCCGGGTTTTTCTTTAGATATCAAAAAACTTATATAGCTACTTCCCAGTGTTGCTCCTTCGGTTGCTGCATGTACTAAGAAAATATGTGGATATAATAACATAATTTAGGCGAGTGATAGTGCAATAAAGTAGACGTCCGACAATAGTGACTTGGACTATCATGACATGTCCATTTGTTGTAGCTAACTAATGTCATTGCTCCACCGGAGAAGTTGTTGGTTTAGCTACTAGCATTACACATCTCGATAGGATGTCAAGTACATACTCTTCGGCACAGAAATAACCCTGAAGTTGTCTGCGTTACTTCAATTCCCAAAAAGTCCTTTAGTTGGCCAAGGTCCTTGATATGAAAACAATCATCAGGGTACCGTTTGAGTGCTACGCACTGTTTTAAATTATTGCTTGCAAAGACAAGATCATCAACATATACTTACATAGCTAGAAAAGTACCGCCATGTGAACATGTGAACAACGAGTTACTGCTATTGATTGATCAAAACCATACTCCCTCAATGCATTAGAGAATTTTGAAAACCAGTCTCAAGATATTTGTCGAAGATCATAGAAGGACTTTTGCAGTTGACATACACGATTTGAGCCCTTTGTTGTGAAACCAAGTGGAAGCTTCATATAAACTTTATCATCCAAGTCGCCATGTAGAAATGAATTGTTGACATCCATATGATATAACTCCCAATTATGAGCCAATGCAACGGCAAGAAGACAAGACACCGTATAATGACTAGTTTAGCCATTGGTGCGAAGGTTTCATGGAAGTCCACGCCCTTTATCTGGGAGAATCCCTTGGCGACAAGACGAGCTTTATATCGCTCAATACTGTTGTCACGTCCAGAACCCCAGCGGGCTCGCGACACCCTTTCCACGGTCGTATTGAACGCGACGTCCCAGGACGCGTCGCCGACCCAAATGAAACACCCAACAATAAAGGCAAGCGGAAGCGAAATTAATTAACCCAGACAATAAATAATAACAAAGGGATAGCACGCAACAGTAATTGCATAACATCATAAAAGCAGTCACTATTACAAAATGATAACCCAGTCTACCAAATTTAAAACCACAATTTTCAAAAGGGGGCGGTGGTTGACAAACTTATCTCTTCTACAAAAGGTACTCAAAAGACAGGGTAAATGATCTATCTTTCAATCCCTGTGGAGCTCTGGCGGCATCTCCGAATCGATCACGGTCGCGGATCTGAAATGGTTATATAATAACCGTGAGAACGAGTCTCAATAAGCAACCCCCTATACCCCACGTAAGCCAATGCGTACCCAGACAAGTCGTACATGCAATCTACATCTACCCCATAACATATAAAATTCGCATCATTATACTTACCTCGTCATCAAGGCCATGCCAACTCTACACGTTAATCACAACGTGATAATACAATAATAATAATTAAATAACACATCACAATCGCTCAAACACCAACCACACTTGCACTCAATCAATCCAACTAATTCAACCAGCCAATTCATTCATACTCAATTCGCATGCATGGCCGAACATCTTTCTCACGACCCGCGCCACTGCGCCTCAGGTCCATTCTCACTGCCCGCGCCACTGCGCCTCAGGCCCACTTGGCACACCGGCCATTCATACTTTCACACGGACCGCCGTCAACACGTCCCAAGTCCGTAGCCCTCCGATCAATCCGGGCTCAATTTCCAATGACCGACGTAAATACGTCCCGGTCCAACACACCTCTAACGGCTCACCGTCAACACGTCTCAAGCCCGCATCCATTTGGCACACTGGCCATTCATGCCTTCACACGGACCGCCGTCAACACGTCCCAAGTCCGTAGCCCTCCGATCAATCCGGGCTTATAATCGACAAGCATGCACACGCCATTCAATTCAATCAATTTCACGTCAATTGCACCAAACGATCCATACTCACAACTCAATCCAATTCACAATTTACCACATCAATCCACAAACCCGACATGCAAGTCGGCCACGTACGATCACCCCAAATCATGCATATTATTTTATCAAATCCAACTAGCACAATTATATCATAATATAATTAAATTAAATCGTGCCCTAACCGTTCCAAACCCTAAACAAGTCTATAAAATACCCAAAGTACTAGGTAGAGTTTAGGAAGTTACTTACTTGGTTTTGGCCCGGAGAAAATCGGTTCGGGCCTAAAATAGCCCGGGTGAACAGTACCGGACTAGGCGCGGGCGCGGGCCAACAGGCGCCGACCGGCCAACACGGGCACGGTGGCCGATCGGGCGTGCTCGACGCGCGAGCGCGGTGGCCGAACGGCGTGCCCGGGCGCACGGCCGAGCTGGACGGGCAAGGCGCCGGCCGAACGGCGAGGTGCCGGGCGGTGGCCTGGGCGAGCTCGGCCACGGCTTGGGCTGCTCGGCCACGACTGGCCAACGGCGACGACAGCGGCGGTTGGGCTGTTCCGGCGAGCACGACGGATGCAAGTGGCTGAGCAAGGTCGCCGGGGCTGGGTGGTGGCGGACGCAACAGCGGCGGCGGCCGGAAAGGCGGTGCGCGGCGGCTGGACGAGGCGGCGCCGGGGAAGAGAAAAGCAAGGGAGGCGTCAGGGAGGAAGAAAAAAAATCAGGGGAAGGGCGATGGTCGCATCCGAGGGGCAGCAGGGCGGCGAAGGTGGTTGAGGCGAGAGGCTGGGTAGCAGAGGCGGAGCGGCGGAGGCCGGAACAGCGGCACGCGGCGGCGGCGAAGCTGGGAGCTCGAAACAGGGGAAGGCGCCGGGGAAGAGAGAAACAGGGGGAGAGGAAGTCGCGCGGCGGCCGGAGGCGGCACGGCGGCGTCACGGGCGGCCGGGCGACGGAGGACAGGCCGGCGGGACGGCCGGGCAACGCCGGACCGCGGCGGATGCGGCGGCCGGCGAGCCGGGCCGTCGCTGTAACGCGGGCAGGACCTGCAACAAGCGGAAAGGTGGCCGGTGAGCGGCGGTCGCGGGCGACGAGCGGCGGCGCGGCTCGGTCGGGCGACCGCGGCGCGATGCGAACGGCGGACGGTGGCTGGGCTGGTCCTGGTGAGCAGCAAGCAGAAGGCCAGAGCAGACGTGCGCAAGGCAAAAAGAAAAGAAAAGGAAGAGAGAGAGAAGAGTGGATGGGTCTGACAAGGGGGGAACAGACGTGCGCAAGGCGAAAGTGACCGGAGAGAGAGAGAGAGGGGAGAGAGAAAAATAAATAAACATTCAATTAAATATTAATTGCAATTCGATGACCCACATTTAAAATCGAAAACGATCTACCGATCCAAATTAATCCTAAAATAGAATAAGGGACAAAGGTCAAATTAATTAAATCAAACTACCACGAGGGAGGTCTATTAGTCCAAATTTGCACCCGGTCTAAAATTCACTTTTCACATATTTCGAGCAATCTCGAGGCCGACTACAATAATATCGACACCGTCCAATTAAATTCGTCCCGAAACTCCGAGAAATTCGACACCAAAGTTTGGGCTCTAAATAACGGCAAAATTCGATCGAGTGCGATTCTAGCGAAATCTCTAATTTAAAAATAATAATCGAGAGTGATCAGTTCCTGGGTGAGATTTTCCTATAAGCACACTGACGAATTACACGTTTTATAAATCCCAACTAGGGGCCAAAATTCGAAATGTCACAACTGTCGTCAGCTTGACACTTGATTTTGTAAACCCATTTAGACCATATGGGTTTCTTACCCTCCAACAAAGTTGACTGAGTCCAAGTTTTATTATCTTCGAGTGCTTTAATTTTCGCCACCATCACTTTTCTCCACAAAAAGGATTTTTAACAACCTCAAGGCTCAATATCAGAATCAATAGCAGCTAAAAAGTCGATGTAATGCTCGGTAAATTTACTTCTCAATTGGATAGATCGTACCTGAAGATATCAACGGAGTGAGCTGAGGGTTGGGGTCTTCGTTTGGACCGGCACACATAATCTTGCAATTGGGTTGGCCGTTTATTTTGTCGTGCAGGCCGAGTTGGGACTGGAATTTGGTCATTGGGTTGCTCGTTGGGTTGCTCTTTCAACTTGGACTGTACTATCACAATCCTACATTACCTTCTACCCATTTTCTTCACGAACTTGGCTCGGCACCCTTTTTTTCTTCCCGTGAGGTTGATTCCACCCCTCATCAATAGGACCCATCTCACAAGCCGGTGTCAAAAGAGGAAGAGAGTCTTGATCTTCATGTACGGGTTACTGAGCAAATAGGAAATTCTCTTCATAGAAAACATCATCACGAAATACCAATAATTCTTCAGTTTCCAAATCAAAAACCTTTCAACCCTTCGTGCCGTATGGATATCCCAAATATACATGTTTTTTTTTTCTCTAAATTTACTTTTGCCCTTTGATGGTTTGTAAGCATAGCACAATACACCGGAGACTCGCAAATAACTATAATCCGGGGGTTCCCTAAACAAAAGCTCGAAAGGCGTTTTTCCAAATAATAATGGAGTTGGAGTATAATTGATTAAATATTTATACGACATATTGCTTAATTAGCAAAGGGAACGAAAAAAACGTACCAAATATCGCAAACTAATTATAAAAGATATATTAAATAGTATTCTAACTAAAGACAAAAAGAGAGATACGCTGGATATTAGAAAAAATTGGATATAAATCTTAATATAAATGACAGGATTTGGTTTGACGAAATTTGGTAGTGAATTTAAGATTGAGGATGCGAAAATGCATTCTGAAAATAAAGTACATGAAGTGGGGTGGTTTTTTTTTTTTGGGTCAAGTAAGTGGGGTGGTTCGGGGTGTAGTTTTTGGTATTTTCCCTATTATTATTATGATGATGCTAGAAATTGATATTTTGATGATGTTGATGAACTCTTGGCTTACCCCTTAATGAAATGCCAACCCCTTCTTAACTAACAAATTTAATGAACCGACTCATTCGAATTTCGAACCCGCGTTTTGTTACTCCAAGTGCATACCTCACCATACCATAGCAAAGCTTCCCCCAGGACGCAGGCCGGTGTGTATTTCGCCCCCGTGCGCAGCTTTGCGTCCGTACGTCTCCCCCCCTCCATTTTTGCTTTGTTTTTTTGGTCGAGACGTCTTCCCCTCATTTCATTCTCCTGTTCACCGGCGGTTTCTGCCGACTCCGACCCTCTCTCTCTCTCTCTCTCTCTCTCTTCACCCCACTCTTTCTCCTTCTTCTTCTTCCTCTTCTTCTTCTTCTTCTGCTTCGTCGTCGTCGTCGTCGTTCGGAACGGCCTTTCCTCTGGTTCTTCCCTCCCGTCTCGAGGCTTTGCTTCAGGTTCTCTTCTTCTTCTTCTTCTTCGCCTTCCTCTCGATCGCTCCTTCCCTCGGCGTTTCTCTCTCCTCGCTCGCGCCATTACTTGCTAGCCTTACTTCCTCTCGCTGTTTACTGTTCAACGATGCAGCTTCTCTGTGTGGACCGTGCGATCGCTTCTTTCTCGTCTTTTTCTGTTCTCGGCTTTCCGTTCACCTTGCTGCACCACTGTTCGCTTCTGATGATCTTTTTCCTTTTTTGTTTGCATGATGCTCGCCGGTCATGATCGTGACCGGAGCGCTTCGCTTTTTGTCGCCTGCGGCTTCAGAAATGCGAGATTGCAGGCTGCATTCCCTGGGGAAGCGACCAAGATTCGACGGCGCCGGAGGATCTCGTGAACCGGACGAACGTCGAGTCGCTCGCGCCGAGTCTGCAGAGAACGGAGGCAAAGGTGGTGGTGGTACGTCCAAGAGTCGTCTGAACAAAGCCGGCGCTTCTCGCTCCAAACCGGACGATGAAGACGCGACCGCCGTTCCGGTGCGCTCGAGGACGCGTCCTACTGAGGTATGTTCTGCCAGAGCACCCTCCGTTGATGCTCGCGGTGGTGTTGTGAGGAGAGGCTTGAGAACTCCTGCTGCTGGACGCGAGGGAGTCGTTAGTGATCAGATGAAGGTGAAGGAGGCGGTGGATACGTTTCACAAGATTTTTGAAGAGGTTAAAGGTGCGCGGAAGTCAAAGCATGTGTTTGGTAAAGGCTCTGGCATTTCAGTTTTTAGTAAGGCTTTGGAGCGTATGAAAAGTTCAAACAAGTGTGTTAATCTCGGAAAATTGCTAGGCTCTGTACCTGGTGTTGAAGTAGGGCAGGAGTTCTGTTGTAGGGCCGAACTGGTTGTGACTGGCGTTCATGGTCAAAATATGAGAGGCATAGATTGGGTCTCGATGAACGGGAAACGTTATGCCACGAGTATTGTTGCGTCTGGCCAGTACTCAAATAGCATGAGTTCCAAAGATGAGGTAGTTTATTGTGGCGAAGGTGGAAACCCCTTAGTTGGGGGAAGGGGTCGCCTCAAGGATCAAAAGCTTAGTGGGGGGAATCTTGCCCTAAGGAATAGCATGCATTTCAAATCTCCCGTGCGCTTTATTCGCAGATATAAGCTTACGAACTATGGTTCTGGTCTTACGGATGCCAACCACGAGAAGCTTTCTAAGTGCAAGTATGTTTACGAAGGTATATTCTACGTGCGCCAGTATTGGGCAGAAAGAGGGCCTTTGGGAAAGCTGATTTATAAGTTCAAATTGACCAGAAACTTGACGAAAAATAGCCATGATGGGAGTGCTCCAGTTAGTTCGAATAGTTCAAGGGCTCTTGAACTTGTCTGTGTGGATGATATATCTCGAGGGAGAGAAAAGATACCAATTCGAGTTGCGGGTGCAGTTGATAAGAATGGACCTCCACCTTTCAATTACATTGTTGATATCATTTATCCAGAGCGAAAGGACCTGCCTCCTCCAATCGGTTGCAATTGTAAGGAAGGATGTCATTCCAGGATATGTTCTTGTGTAATAAAGAATGGAGGGGAATTTCCATACAAACAAGATGGACGAATTTCGAAGTTTAAGCCCCTTGTTTATGAGTGTGGCCCATCTTGTACTTGCTCGCGCTCTTGCATAAATAGAGCGAGTCAAAGTGGCATCAAGTTTGACCTAGAGATATTTCAAACTCGAGGAAAGGGGTGGGGCGTCAGATCACGATCACACATCCCGCGAGGAAGTTTTGTTTGTGAGTACATTGGCGAAGTACTTCCAGATGAGTTAGTCTTGCCGGAGTTCAACAAACACCAGTACTTCTTTAATATTGGGGTTGGTGGTGCCACCCGCAAGGAGAATGGTGAGCGCTTTACTATTGTTGCCAAGGCGCATGGAAACGTTGGGAGGTTTATCAACCACAGTTGCTCTCCAAATCTGTATGCGCAAAATGTGCTCTCTGATCACGACGACAAGAGAATGCCTCACATAATGTTTTTTGCTTCGAAGGACATACTTCCATTAAGAGAGTTGACTTTTGATTACACAGTTAGCCATGTTCGTTGTGCTGATATCCTGCAGAGGATGAAATGTTACTGTAATGCTATAGCATGTAAAGAAAAGCGTCCCAAATGATGAATGAAGTCGTTAGAGGTCATGCTGGAATATGCTGTTCCTTTTTTTGACATAGGTAAATCATAGAATTTAGTGTTTGTTTTCTGACTTCGTCACTTGTAAAGTTGTTGGAGAACAATTGGTAATATCAGCAATCATGCTGGAATATTGACTTTGTCTTGATGGATTACTATTGCAGAGGAAGTTGCATGACACTCTGCTTCTCAGCGCTAATAAAGGAACGTTTAAATGACTTTTTTCTTTTCTTGAACATATAGAAATGGCTTTTTATGCATGTTTGTGTTGCGGTTGCTTCTTTACATGCAAATGTAAGGGAGAGGGATTGACAAAGTTTTATTTATAAGATTTGCAGGGAAGGAGAATTATCTTTTGGCCGTTTAATGCTTAAGTTTCTTACATTCGTTTGAGGCTATCACTTTTGGTCCAAAACAATTTTCCCATGAAAGGTTGTGCTACTGCAAAATTATGCTTCTCTCAGTCTTTCTATGTATATGCACACATTCTCTAATTTACTTTTTATCATGTCTTAGCTTAGTCATGGTTTCAAATTTAGGAAAAGCCAAAAACTATGATTTATCTTTCCTGGCCCCACGCCATCCAGACTTTGCAAGCAATTACAGCAAAGCTGTGCAATTTTTAATTTTTAAATCGATCAGGAGAGAATTTTTATTCACATGGATCTCATCTTGAAGATAGTTGGCTTTCTAATTTCAAGGCTTCAGATATGTCTGGACAGGGTTGAAGTGCTTGACATCAACTGCAGGTTGGTAATTAGTTGGTTTATTTTACTTAAACTGATTCAAGCTGAATAGATTTATATTGAGCTTGATGAGGCCACAGCTTTTAATCGGAATCTGGTGAGGAGGTATCCTAATGGGCTCTGACAGTGTGCTCCTCTACAGTTTTGACCAATATGTTTTCCCCCTGATCCATATTATCAAGTGGTTGACCTTTTTAGCTTAAGGGATGTACTTGTACATCAAATCTTGGTTATGCCCAAAGTATCGTTGTAACCAGGCTTGGCTATTTTGTTGAAGTTGCTCATGCTTTCCCACGTGGAGGCTGAAGGGACATTGGAATGGCAGGCAAAGGCTCATGGCTTAGAAGCGCAACAAGAGGTCTTCGATATGTTTGTTTTGTCATTGCTTGTTATTGTTTTGGCATTTGGAATCACTGGAGAGCGGATATTTCCACATAGAAGTTGCTTGTTTCTTTGTTTTTATCTTTAATGATAGAATGAAAATATTGTGATTGGATTCACGATTCAGAAGCGAATGAATCTCATGGTTGAATTTAGATCGACTGCGCTATGATGACTGACAGAGATTTTGCGGGACACTGGGTTCCACATGCAGCTGGAGCATGGTAGGGTCAATTTATACCATATATAAGCTACTTTTGAGTATGTTTCTCTTTTGGTTTATTGAGTGAATATATTGATTTGGATGGATGTATTTGTTTATAGAGTTCTTATTCTCATTTACTACATTTTTTTTATTTAAATTTCTTTACCTATGGGGTGTGAGAAATGCCTCTTTCCATGGGATTGCTCATTGAAATTCCATCCTACCGAAAGAAATGAAGACTTGGAAGTAGAGGAAGGGGGCTACAACTACAAGTTTATTTGATGGGGTGAATCAATTAAAAGGATGATGCCTGTGCTGTTTATAAACAGCTTTCCACGTGGCAAATGGGATTTCAATGGGTAAAGTCCTTTTTGTTAGCCACTCTAGTTACATTCAATCCGACAGGACTGTTGATTGAATTCAGTATTTAGCTTTGTGTGGTGAAGATGAAGAAATCTTTTCACAATGCAAGAACTTCCTTGACAATATCAACAGTTAGCTTATGGATGAAATTATTTTGACCGAAACTCAGGGACTAGCCGAGATTTGTTTGGTTATGGCTGTTGTGTTGCTCTAAGTTAATATGTGCAGGCATGTGATCCAGAACATACATAAGCTATTTCTGGTAGTATAGTAGAAAAGATGGACATTGGTACTATACTGCTGACATTATTCTGTCATATATATCTATATCTCATGCTGAAAACATGATCTCGTACATGATGCACTCGTTATTACCATGAGGACTCTGTATTTTAAGGTAAATTCTTTCGTAAGCTGATCATGCCAGCATGTTAACCACGGTGGTCAGCATGTTAACCACGGTGGTCTCTGTCTCTAGAGTATGACGGGGAGAGACCGCCGGATCCACCAGAGTTGCCGCTCCCGCCGCCTGCTCCAGCACCTCCAGATCTGCCTGAACCGGTTCCAAACCCGTAGCCTCCGTCGCGAGCACCGCCGCCCCCCCAACCATACCCGGACCCAGATCCCGATCCTGTCCCCGAGCCAAAGCCATACCCGAATCCCTTGCCGAATCCAGTGGGCGAGTGGCCAGACCCCGAACCATAGCCCCAGCCACTCCCCGGGCTTGAACCCCAGCCCCAGCTGTAGTCCCAGTTGGGGCCGTGGCCTGAGCCAGTGTCACCTGTTGGGCTCCCGGTGCTGCCGCTCGGTCCCGTGGACATCTCAGGCGAGTCTAACCTCCTCGCGGAACTCACGGACGATGAGAAGGCTACTGCTAAGAACACCGCGAAGAGAAGAATCTGTGACATAGTAGAGCGCAAATGCATTTCCAGGTTGTGCTTATCTTGGATTAGGAGCGAGTTTATACAGAGCAGAAAAAGGCGGGTAGTGGCATGTGACCTGTGAGATTTTTGGGGCATGGAAGCGAGTGCTGCATTTTTGTGGGTTGATGTTGATAGGAACGCCCGTGACTTAATAATGCTTGATGGGGATGATACTTGTCGGGATTTCAGATCAAATTGCCCTCGAACACTTGGGCTTTTTAACCACGCCATGCTCGCACCACCGCCTCTCAACTTAAAGAATTGACATCCATTGATTGCTGCTATTTCAGTTGAGTTCTGCCTTTTGACCTTGAGGACCTGTCTTTCTTAATTTGCTCCGTGCCTTCGGCTAATGAGTTCGAACGTGAACGTCTATCTTGTCTTTTCTTGCTTTTGAGATAAAATCCATTTCCATCAAGTCGGCATTTCATCGTCTTTAGCTCGAGGGCATTCATTTTTTGCGCTCACATCGGTTAAGAATGACATGAGGTGACTGATGTCTAATGTCTATATTGGTGTTACTTCAACTCTAGGGACAACTGTACAAGCAACATAGGCAAAAGGCTCCGACGTATTTATTAGACAACGTTCGATAGCTATGATTGACTTGTCTCTTGGCCGAGTTGAAAGTTAAAAGGTACAATTCTCACTATTAGAGTTGAACTCTATTTGCAGTGAAAAGTTCAAATTTCATACACCTAATTAATGCTCCCCAGACTTTTTGAGTGTTCTCTGTTAGTCAAGGCTTGCGGCATTTTTCATCGTTACTTTTCTTTCAGATTATTAACATTTAATTCTTATGTTGTTCCTTGTTTTTAGCTGAAGTTCTAACATAACTGATGTGCCGGGCTAGTTAAACGTCCTGGCTAACCATAACATATAATATGTATGAACATTTGTGTTCAGATTATACGCAAACAATTTCATATAACTGATACGATTTCGAATCATCATATCATCAAATGCTAATAATGTCATGTCTATTTAAGTCGCCAACAGAGTTGGTTTCACAACACCAAATACAATCTCATGTTTGAGTTCACCTCATGGTCGAAGAACGGACGAACATGTGAATTTGGCAAATAGTACACGTTCCATTGTCGTTGCCACCAGAGCAAATAATCTCACATTGAAGCTTATTTTATGCAATTAGCAGCGTACTCTATGCTATTTATTTATTTAGGTGGGTAGGTTACCTGTTCTCAGGAGTTGCAAAGTAACGACATCGGAAATTTCCTTGGACTTTTATTTTTCAGAACTTGCCTGAAAATTGATTCCGGAAAATGCGACCCCTTTGTACTTATGAGAAGAATATGTCCCCCTATGTCAGCATTTTTCAACCCAAAACAAGTAAAGATATTAAACTAACAAGCAACGAAAGGTTTCAGTTGAATTTTGATTTTTACCCGTTTTGTTTCCATCCGAGATTATTTATATATTTAATATTTTATAATCGAGTATTTCAAATCGAAGTTTATTGGAGTACTTTCTTATTACTTGAAGAAACAAGGGATCATAACGCAGCTGAGAAATATCTTGGCAGAAATGGAGGAGTGGACCACCCACTCCCTGTGGTGGTTGCTTCATTACCGGCCGACCCACCAATACACGTGGCGACGTAAGCCTGCACAGCGAATAGTGAATCCCAGTCCAGTCAAGAAACATAATGTACGTCTGGATACCAGTTATGAAGATGTTACAACTGAAGATCAAAAGGTTTGACCATCTTATTGCTTATTCCCATCACTTAGTTCTTGACATGGAACAAAATGAAAGTGACTTTTGAGTGTTCTTTGTCAAGGCTACACGTATTAATCTGGTATGATTTGTGCCTAGAGAGAGACAGAGAGACGAAAACAAAGATAGTGCTGAAGTTTCTACCCATTTCTGCAACAGCAAGAGACTTGCCCAAGAGGATATGTGAGGAGGTTAACAAAGTAGGTGGACCACATGGTGTATGCATTTACAGTTCCACATCCACTTCTTGTTTGCAAAGAGAAAAACACAAAGATGGTCAAGAGTGACACCAGATTCGGAGAAGCATGCTGACCCCCAAACTTATAGATGTCTGAAATCAAGAATGCAGAGTCAGCGCCACTGGCCAGACCTCACATGCCCCAAAGGCATCCATTGGAAAAGCATACTGCTCAGTTGAAGCCAAAAATGCATTTGATTCCCAAGCTTCTCCCAACCCCCAAAGATATCAATCTCTGTAGGCCTCGCCCAGTTGCACCATTCTTGTATCTCTTTCGGCATTCTGCACTCACAATTTCAGAACTCCCACGACTCACATAATGTATCCAAATGCATCACAGGCAGTGCCCAAGCATGAAGCATGTCCCCATCACAAAGCAATCCGCAAGCTCCAAAAGAGTAAAAAACATAGACTGGAGACGAGAGCCATTTTGATAACAAATAACCACAATCAGAGAAAGCTCAAAGCAGCTAAGGAGCCATATAAGATTCTACAGCAGAGTGACAGTCCAAGAAAGAACTTTGAAATCAACTTAATGAAATTTATATTTGTAAAGTTAGCCTGGCCATCTCTAGAGTAACTTTACTTCATAAATTACACTTGAGCTATTTTGAATCAAGCTCTACGAAAGGGCGAGCACAATAATCAAGTTAAAAAAACAGAAATGAGAAATGAGAAAAGTGGGGTTCACTTAAGGACTTGAGGACTTGAGGAGGACATTGTTGCACTATGGTCACAAAAGGGGTAGAAAATACAAGCTACAAAGACGTTGTCTAGTAAAAATATAACCTAAATAAACAGGAAGTAAAGATAAGCACAGTTCCAAGAAAATTTGAATAGTAAAGGCAATGGCCGCAATTAAACCAAGCTGTTGCTCATAATTCGTTAAGCAATCAAACCAAAAGATAGAGAGCCTCAGAAAAGTCAATAACATAATCATGCTTATAGTCAGGCAATGTAGGCAAGACTATAATGAGATCATCACAGGCCTCCGCTAACAAAAACTGAAATCAAACAAAAGTGGATTATCCATATCGATATGGGATACCAAAGAAAACGAACCAAGCCAACGTAGTGCTACAAAAGAAAAAGATTTTAGCAACTTTATAGAGAAAAACCAATGGATTTAAAGCAAGCCGTAGCTCATAATCTCTTAAGCCATCAGAACCAAAATATATCTTAGCCAAGAGGCCTCAGAAAAGTCCATAGCATAATCATACATATAGTCAGGCAATGTAGGCAAGACTATAAGAAGATCATCACTGGCCTCCGCTTGACATGAAAACAGAAATAAATAAATAAATAAGAACTAGATTATTCTGTATCAATATGGCACACCAAAGTAAAAGAACCAGGGCAACTTAGAAAGAGAATTTTGATGCTGCACGGAAAACAGGATTTTAGAAACTTCATAGGACAAAAAGAGCAACGCATGATTTTGCTGAGACCCCCCAGCAATACAATTTAACTCGTCGCGTAATGTCAAATTGCAAAATGAAGGGGAATACTGAGACACCGCAAGATGACGATGCCATTGGTGCCGTCCACAGTAGCACCACACCATGAAACCTGTTCCCACCACAGCAACATGGCAGCAGTTCAACTCCAGAACAGTTAGACCCATAGTCAGTTTCGCATTTCTCTTCTCCATCCTTTCTTTAAACATACAAATGGCAATAAGATGAAAGCAATGCAGCATGCAACTTAACTGCTCCTAGTGTGGCTTCTCTTGCCTCGTAACGATGTCCTAAAACATCAACGACACCACATCGCCCACCTTATCGACACATTTACTGTAAGCCTCAACTTCCGGTAGACGCACAAAGAAACGGAAGCAAATCATACACGAGCCGCACTGCAAATCGCGGAAGGATCCGTGCGCTAAGAGAACAAACACGAATTCGCAATTTCTTGCTCTGGCTGACCTCTTAGGGTTCGATCGTAGTACCTTCCATCGCGGCGCTTGGTGAAGGAAGTGGAGGGCAGAGACGGAAATTCTTGATTTATGTGATTTATAGAGGAAGGAGACGATTGCATACTAGGGTTCATCTTCTCTGCAAGCGCATCGCCGGAACGGCGAGCACATTTCCAACGGGCTTGGTTCTTTTTGGATTTGGGCTTTTACCCGGCCCGAAATTTGCCATCGAGAAGAAGCCCGTTTGAGATAGAAACCAACCCACCCAAAAGATGAAAATGAGGTGTGGAGCTTGTTATCTTTAAAAATAGATGAATAAAAAAAAAGGGTCCATGACCCAAATGTTCGAATTAGGCATAAGTGTTACAAAGGCCATACGATAAAAGATGGGAGCATGTTGATGAGGAGTATAAAAAAAAAAACTTATGATGAGCACCTATTTGGGTAGATCATTTCCAAGATCTAATTCCAGTTTTTTCTAGGTTTCCACAAAGTCGTAAGACATGCCTACCCGGTGCTGGAAGGTCAAGGAAGTTGGCGACCCGATGATAGGAGAGCCGGCGATCGAAGCCTCGGTGAACAGTGGTCGTAACTATATACTTCTTGTTGAACATCTTCAGAAGTTCTTTGATGCAGACACTTCAGCAAAGTTGGAAAATCTTGTGTAGATCTTTGATTTAGCTATTTCTAAAGCTGAAAACTTCATATCTTAGATGACCCTCTTCTTTATTCCTATTACTATGGTGAGTTTGTACAGATGTGGGAGCGACAATGATTTTGGTGATCTGAAGCTTTTTTAAAAGCTGGTTCCAGAATCACTACTTCCGCTACTTGCACCCACCGCTCCCTTTTCCATATCCATTATTTAGATTGTTATGACTACATCGTGCTGGGAATTTGTTCGCAAGTCTTCTTCAAATGGATCAGACTCCTATGTTTATCGCATCCAAATCAATATTGATAAACTTTAAGACTTTAGCAATCGTCTCTGGTTTAGGCAGATAGCTTGGCAAATAGACATCTACAAGAATACGATTCACTTTCAAGATGCCTTGGTGGTAAAATGATAGACAAACTAGACTCAAAATCTAGCAGAATCGAGATGGAAAATTCTTGATCGAAAGGCATTAGGAGCGATTTGTCTATGGCTAACGAAAAAGACAGGGTACCACATCGCGAAAGCAAAAACTGTAGAAGAAGCCTTGGATATATTAACGACTCCACACCACATTAATTCTCGGATGTGGAATTTCTTTAATACAGCTCACACATGTATCTAACAATCTCCCCATAAGCTCCCCTTAATTTAGGTACCTTCTACATCAAGGTGAGAAGTCTACCACCGGGCCTGCATTGTTATACCATAATGCCCATCACCCGGAAATTATGTCTAACTTCATCCACCAAACACCGGAACATAACATCAGCTCTGATACCAGTTGTTGGGAATCACACACCGATTCCAGAAAAATAATCCAAGCAAACAATCCACACTGACAGAATGTAATAATAAAATATAATCGGAAGAACATACTAGAGAATTTGTTATCGAAGTTCACCCAAACCTGGGCTACGTCTCCGCGCAGAGGGATTCTGCGAATCCACTAGATTTCGCAAAAAGTAGAAATACAATGATGATCTTTTCTCAAGATCGGGGTACAAAGAGATTGACAACACTCACAAAGAAAAAAACTCATTATTTCCTCTCTCTTTCCATTTCTCTCTATTTTCTTCTCAGTGCTTGACGGCTAGCGTCTATCAATAGCTGAAATATAAAGTGTATCTTTTAACCTAAAAGCAAAATTAATAGAAAAGACAAAAAAAATCCTTAATTATAGTATTTGGCATCGTCCCCCAACATTAAGGAGGATATTGTTGCTCTATGGTCACAAAAGGGGTAAGAGAATACAAGCAACAAAGACATTGTCTACTAAAAATATAACCTGAACAAACAGGAAGCGAAGATAAACACGGTTCCCAGAAAATTTGAATAGTAAAAGGCAACGGCCGCAATTAAACCAAGCTGTTGCTCATAATTTGTTAAGCAATCAAACCAAAAGATAGAGAGACTCAGAAAAGTCAATAACATAATCATGAATATAGTCAGGCAATGTCGGCAAGACTATAAGAAGATCATCACAGGCCTCCGCCAACACAAATACAGAAATCATACAAAACTGGATTATCCATATCGATATGGGACACCAAAGAAAACGAACCAAGCCAACGTAGAAAGAGAACTCTGTGCTACAAAAGAAAAGGGTTTTAACAACTTTATAGAGAAAAAACCAAATGGATTTAAACCAAATCAAACCAAAATGTATCTTAGCCAAGAGGCCTCAGAAAGGTCCATAGCATTATCATATATATAGTCAGGCGATGTAGGCAAAACCATAAGATCATCACTGGCCTCTGCTTGGCATGAAAACAGAAATAAATAAATAAATAAATAACTAGATTATTCTGTATCAATATGGCACACCAAAGAAAAAGAACCAAGGCAACTTAGAAAGAGAATTCTATGCTGCACAGAAAACAACAGTTTAGAAACTTTGTAGGACAAAAAAAAGGCAATGCATGACTTTGCTGAGACCCGCCAACAATACAATTCAACTCGTCGTGTAATGTGAAATTGCAAAATGAAGGGTTATACTGAGACACCACGAGATCATAATGCCGCTGTGCTATGCACAGTAGCCACCATACCATGAAACCTGTTCCACCACAGCAACACGATAGCAGGTCAATTCAACTCCAGAACAGGAGACCCATAGTCAGTTTCGTATTTCTCTTCTCCGTCCTTTCTTTAAATATACAAATGGCAATAAGATGGAAGCAATGCAGCGTGCGACTTAGCTGCTCCTAAGCAACATCTTCGCACGTCAAGAACCGATCAAGTATGGCTTCTCTTGCCTCGTGGCGATGTCCTAAAACATCAACGACACCAAGTCGCCCACCTTATCGACACACCTGCAGGTTTAAGGGTGTGGACAATTGCTGTAAGCCTCAACTTCCGCTAGAAGCACAGAGAAATAGAAGCAAATCATACATGAGCTGCAGTTCAATCGCGCAAGGATCTGTAGGGTATTCGACCTTGCTTTGATACCACTTGCAGGGCATGCATGCAGAAGCGTGACACAAATATAACTCACAAAATCTTACTTTTACTATTACAATATATTTCCCACACCACATACAACACTCGGAGCAAACTAGCTCCTACAAAAACTCAACTCTTTTTTTTCCGGAGAGAACTCGCTCACAGAGCTACTCTCTTTCTATCGGTGAGACTCTCTCAATCTCAAGGCTTTCTGTCGCCTCTCTACTTTTCTCTCGTCTCTCCAATAGGAGCACTTGCGACTTGGTCCTATATATATTGGGAACAAAAGTCGTTGAAGTCCTTGCGACTTGCCACCAACTTGCGCTGTCTTACTTATTCAACAGCCGCGGCTGCCCGTGTCCAACAAGGAAATTGACTAAGGGCGGCTGAGATAGAAAAGAGGAATCTTGCCCTTCATGGTATTTATATGTTGCTGAAGGACGCCACAAGAGAACAAAAGAAAAAGAACACGTTCTTTGATTTCGATCGTACAAGAGAGCGTTTTGGTTTGTGCTTGAACACGTGGTGATTTATGAAGTGAGTTTACATCCAATTGAGTTATTTTATTTGTAAACATTCGGGATTTGGATGTAATCTAGGTTGGGAAATATTCGAGCGTATGAGCAAATTGCAATTTTAATTTTCCGATTATGGTGTATTGGTTTTTATTAGCTCTCACGGTAGATGCAGGTATCAATACTCGGACCAAACCACGTAAATCTATTGTGTCATTTATTATTCATTGTTATTTCTCTAATATTTTTGCATTGATTTGATTTGAAAGATCTTGTCATTTTCGCGCATTATATTTCAACACGTGCCTTAAGAGAACAAATCGAATTCACATTCTTTTTTTTTTTTTTATCCTGACTGACCTTAGGGTTCAATTGTGGTACCTCCCCCACACTTTTCAGGGGCTTCGATATTTTTTAAATTCTTTTTTTTTGGGGCTTCAATCGACCCCGATAAGCAAATGGCAATATTTTGCAATTGAAATAGCATCTAGAACCTCCTGCGGCTGAGAAAATATTAGGTGGTCCCCGATCACTCACGAGGCGCCATGTGGTTCACGTGATGCAAGCGGGGCCTACGGGCCAGGATGGTTTTTTTGCACAAAAAATTAATATTTTTTTTCCTTTGGCCCTCCAAGCCTTCTTGGCACGTTGAGAACCTACCTCTCCTTTGGAGTGTCTCTCCTCTCTCTCTCTTCATTAATGGCGGCCTCCTTCTGTCTCCTTCTCTATCCTTCGTAGCGCTTTCCCTCTCTTCTCACGAAGCCCCACGTTCTCTCTGTTTTTTCAAAAATCTCTCCCGCCTCCCGCCCGCCCGCTCGCCAGTCCCGACCTCCACCGTCGCCTCCGCCTCCGCCTAAGAGCAACTGGGTCTCTAGCTCTTACCGCCGTCGCCTCCCTTATTTTTTGTTGTCTGGGTTTCCAGATTTTCGAATTGTTTTTATGGTTTTTAATGTTGTTTGGTTTGCAATGCAGATTTCTCGTAACTTCGGCGTCGTCCTCCTCGTTCCCCTGTCACTCGCTGTTCCACCTGTCGGTCTGTGAAACCCGCTGCCCGTCGGTTCCTACCTCCGCCGTCGCCTTAGCTCGCCCAAGAGCAGTTGGGTCCCAAGCTCTGACAGCAATCGCCTCCCTTATTTTTTGTTGTCTGGGTTTCCAGATTTTCGAGTTGTTTATGGTTTTTAATGTTGTTTGGTTTGCAATGCAGATTTCTTCTAACTTCGGCGTCGTCTTCCTCGTTTCCCTGTCATTCTCTGTTCGTTTCAATTTCATCACTTCGCACGCAAACACCACTCCTCTTGCAGAAACCCCAAGCTTTCTCTCTCTAAACCACATCTCTCTCTCTTTAAAACCATGTTTTCGTGAACACCCAGCTTCTTCTTCTGCTCCTGCTTCTCTCTCATTTCATTCCAAATTCGTGCTCTTCCACCCCAATTTCACTTCCCTCTCTGTCTCTCTTTCTCCCTCTCTCTGCGTCTGTGCTTCATCGCAATGGGCGACGAAATCGGCTGCTCCGTCTCCGTTGCCAATTGATTCTCACCGCCGCGCCATTCACTTCGCATTCGCGCAAAGCAGGTCTCTTCTGCGCCCCCCCTTCTTCTTTGTTTAAATTGCCAGACTCTTGATTTCAATCGTAGCTATAGGGAGAGAGCAAAAGATAAGATTTTGTGCTGCTGGGCTTTGCGCGGTTGAGATGGGTGTGCGTGTTTCGATTCTTCTCTTTGAGGGTGTGTGCCGGACTTGGAGCTTAGTTTGTGTATGTAGTTGCTTTTTATGCCTCTTAGGAGTAATAATGTTGGGAGTAGTTACGGCGCGTATGATAACCATTTTGTTTTTATTCAGAACTAGTTTTCTGTTCCCGAAAACAGGTTTGGAACAAAAACCCGCTTGGTAACGCAATTTCATTTTTCTATTTCTAGAACAATTTTTTATTCCAAAACTGATTTTGGACCAAAAATCAGAAAAAAGAGAGTAGGTTTTCTGTTTCTGGACGAGAAATGAAAAACATTTCTAAAAGAGGGCTAATACCACCAAAAACCCAAAACTGGTACGCGTGTGATAATTTTACCCCGAATTTTTTTTTTTACCACCAAAAATCCCAAACTGGTACGCGTGTGACAATTTTACCCCAAACTTTTTTTTTTTACCACAAAAAACCTCAAACTGGTACACCTGTGACAATTTTACCCCGAACATACCACAAAAAACCCCAAACTGGTATACTTGTGACAATTTTACCCTGAACATACCAAAAAAAATCCCAAACTGGTACACATGTGATAATTTTATCATGAACTAAAATTTTAATATTATTTTTTATTTTTTCGAATTTTTATTAATTTTTTTGTTTTTTCTTTTCTTTTTTTTTCTTCATCTTCAACCTCTGGCCGGTCGCTGGACCGGCGACCGGCCAGAGGCGGAAGCCGGCAAGGTCGGCCCCGCCCGGCTCGGGCGAGGGCCGCCCTCGCCGGCGTCGGGCGAGGTTGCCCTCGCCGCGTCGAGCGAGGCGAGCCCTCGCTTGGGCGGGCGGGCAAGCCTCGCCCAACTCGGCGAGGGTCACCCTCGCCCAGACGCGGCGAGGGCCGCCCTCGCTCGGTCACGGCAGCCATGACCACTCTTGCTCAAAGCTTGGCTTGAGGGTCTGACCTCGACCTTTGAAGCTTGTAGGTAGTCGCAAGCCGCCAAGGCCAAGCTTCGAAGCTCGCGGGTCCGCAAGCCGCCATGGCCAAGCTTCGAAGCTCGTGGCCACCATGACCGCTCTAGCTCTAAGCTTGAGGGTCTGGCCTCGACCTTCGAAGTTTGTGGGCGGTCGCAAGCGGCCAAGGCCAAGCTTCAAAGTAGCTTGAAGGTCGAGCTTCAAAGCAGCTTGAAGGTCGAGCTTCAAAGCAGCTTGAAGGTCGAGCTTCAAAGCAGCTTGAAGGTCGAGCTTCGAAGCTTGCGGCCGCCATGGCCGCTCGAGCTCGAAGCTTGACTTAAGGGTTTGACCTCGATCTTCGAAGCTTGTAGATGGTCAGGCAAGTGCCGAGGAGAGCCGCCGGAGGTCTAGGTAGCAATGGGCAGCGAAGCAAGAGCATCGAATGACCAATAGCGCGATGAACAATACTTCATGAAGATGCGGAGAAGACGATGAATAATGAATTTTTTTTCTTTTTTTTTCTTTTCCACCATGGCGCTCACGTGACGCCACATGACACGTGGGATCCACGTCATCTTTTTAATGGTAATTTTGGACGAAATTATAATGGAGAATAAATGTGTCATAATGTGCATAGTTTTGGATTTTTAGTGCCACAAAAAATTTTTTGGGGTAAATATGTCACAGAGAGTATAATTTGGGATTTTGGTGGTTTTTTCTCAAATTTAAAAGATGGATAAACACTTGAAATGTTGCTTTGGCAACTAATAACGAAATCATTACGCAACTTCATCTTTATAGAGCGAGAAATGCTTGGCAGAGGCTTGATCTTATGTTTTCCAAACTAACGGCACCGTTAGCCAAGCATTTTCCAAGTGTTACAAAGGCCATCCGATAAAGAGGGGAACGTGTCGATCACCTGCATACGATCTCTTGCTCTGGCAATTTTTAAGCTACTCATGCCGAGGTAATTTAGTGACTAAAGATAAGAAACCCATCGAAAATAATCAATAACCAAATTTCCATCATCATCCTCATGCAGATCAAGGACTTCCAACTCGGTGAGGTTTCCCAATTGCCGAGGAATTGTTCCATGAAAATTACAAAACGACAAATTGAGGTATTTCAATTCTTCCTCAAACCGAGGAATTCAAGTATTCTTCCATGTTTGAAGTCAATCCTAGTTAAGTCCAAGTAGTTCAAGTATCCCAAGTTGAGCACCGAAGAGTTCAATTTTCCAGCCAAGGAGAGCTACTAATTCATGAGAATAACCATATCATAATTGGCAATGAGGGAGCGAACAAATATATGCTTAGAGAGTGGGTTGGAGGGTAAGAAGAAAATGCACATCCATTCTTGCAATTGAAGTTTCGTAAGTGCAAGTCAACTTATTAACTGAAAGTCCAAACATTACCTGGACAAACAACCAGAGCAAAGGCAAGAAACCAAATATTAATAGGATATACGACTAATTCTGCGATTATCCAATATGTTTATCATGCAGTTTTTTAATATAAACTCAAATCGCAAATGGAAATGCTTCTACACTGTTTTGGAGCCCCACCAAAACCATACTGCCTTCGAGATCACATACCGCATAAGGTAAACGCGCAATCACCCCTCTATCGCTACCATCCTTCCTTCTCCGCTGCCTAAAACCGTACTCAATCATGTGACCATACACTTGTGGACTCATTGCCATCTGCTGCAATCTTCATCTTTCCTAGAAGAAAGTAAGCGATATGCGTCTAGGGGCTTTGTCTAAGTTGGAGCATAACCTCTCTTTCTTGATCAATGCAAATTAAACTTGAATTTTTGCATAAACACACCCATGAAATATCTAAAATGAGCAATAGTGTAAGCACTTGGGAGCAAAATCTCTCCATGAGGAATGAAGGAGAGAATAAATATATGCTTAGAAAGTGGGTTTGAGGGCAGGAAGAAAAGGCACATATAATCTTGCAATTGGAGTTTGTATAGTGCAAGTCCTCAGAGAGTGGGTTTGAGAGCAGGAAGAAATGGGCACATATAATCTTGTAATTGGAATTCGTATAGTCCGAGTCAACTAATTGACTGAAAATCCTAACATTACAAAACAAACAGCTAGAACAAAAACAAAAGCATGCTGCAATGCTCGTGCAGGTGACATATGATCAACAATGAAAATCACATGACTTTATGGGGTTGTGATCTAAGAGTTCGCGTTTATAACCCTCTCAAGCACCACATGTTCATTCCCATTACTTCACAATCTTAATGTTATGGCTTCAAGGAGCCCACCGGAACCATACTGCCTTCGAGATCACATACGGCATAAGGAACACGTGCAATCACCCCTCTGTCACTGCCATCCCTCCCTCTTTGCTGCCTAAAACCATACTCGATCACGTGACAATACACTCCATCACGAGTGACTCCTTTTCATCCACAACAATCTTTGCCTTTCCAAAAAGAAAGCAAGCGGTATGGGTCTGAGGGGCTCCGTCTAAGCCGCAGCAGAGCCTGTCTCTTTCTTGCTCAAATTGAACTTTTGCATAAGCACCCTCACGATTTATCTAAAATAATGATGGATAGAATCACTCATGAGAATATCTATAAACATTGACAGTGTATGTTATGATTAATCGTTGAGCCTTGTTAATTCTATGAAAAAGTTTATGCTCACATATATACTATGATTAGACAAAACTTGCAATCAAACCATAAGCATGTTATACCCTCTAAGGATTACCAATGCAAACAATTGTTGACGTCCATCGAATTTTTAAACTTGATTAGATGCATGCAAATCGCTGCTGTTCATCTGTCTTCTTGGTTCTTTCTTTTTTCTTGATTCCTTTTTGGCTTGAAGAATTCCTCTACTCACAGCTATTATTTGACTTTATCAGCTTAATGACTTGTTTTACTCTCGGATGTCATCTTTTTGCTTCTTCCATTGTCGACGAAATGGATAACGTTAACCCCCAACTAACATCCCTCCAAAAAAACCTTCAACTTCGAGGATAGAAATCCACGCGGCGCCGGACAGTTGGCGCCGGGAATCACACAGAGAAAAGGTGTAGAGAGAGAGAGAGAGAGAGAGAGAGAGTGAGAGAGAGAGAGAGAGAGAGAGAGAGAGAGAGAGAGAGAGAGAGAGAGAGAGAGAGAGAGAGAGCAGTACTGGGAAAGCGAATGCGATGGCTACTCAACGCAAACCGCAAGTCTCGTCACTCACCGTGTGGGAGCATAATGACGAGAGAGAGACCTGTTGTACGATTACTGGGTGAAAAGTTGGTAAAGCTTTTTGGTCAAATTACGAAGGAAGTTCACTTACCATGCACGTAAAGGCAAAGTCGAGCTTGTCGCTGGACTAGGAGGCATAAGGCAATCTCTCTCTCTGTCTCTCTCTCTCTCTCTCTCTCTCTCTCTCTCGCTTGCACGACGAGCTGTGAAATTTTTTTTCCACTGGAATGGCTGGATTGCCAAGAAACCAAACCAACCCCACGTTATCATCGCCTGCTATATAACCCTCCTGTAGCCCCTTCTCATGCTGTAAATTTTCGAGAATTCCATCGTCAAGAAGAAACGCAAGAAACGTACATAAGTAGTCTCGTCATAGGCAAAGCCAATAGAATAAAGACGCAGGCGAAAGACAAAAAGAAAAGAATGGGTTGTCGTTTTCTAGCAGTTTGCAGTCGCAAGCAAGAGAGATTGAGGGGGGGCTTTGCGTATGGGAAGTGGTGGCTTCAATAGTGGCAGTGGCAGGGATGTTAAAGAAGACGAAGAAAGACCGGTCAAAACTGACGTTTTCTCGTCTCTTCTTGAAAGGAGCCAATCACCTGCGATTAACATCCATCGTTTTGCTCTGCATTTATTTACTTTTCACGGTACTTCGTGTAAATTTACATGAGAGCTGTATGTATAGACATGGTGAAACATGTCATTCTAAACTGAAGCTAGCACATGTGCGTCATCAACCTTAGCGAATAGCTTCGACCAGAGAAATTTTCTATACGAGCTCAATTTAAATTCGGTTCCTTATTTGGTTCGGCAACTTTAAAAATGAGTGGTTCTAAGGTTAAAATCAAATTAAAAACTCAACATCGGCTATTTTTTAATATATAACATCAAATTTTTTAGTCCTGCTTTCAAATTCCAAACATTACCAAAACAAACAGATAGAACAAAAGAAAGAAACCAGATATCGTGTGGCTAATTTTACCATTATCCAGAATATCCATCATGCATTTTTTAGTATGAACTCATATTGCTTCTACATTGTACATCTAAGGGATGTATGTAGACGAGGAAACGATGAAATCTTGCAAGAGCAATGCACGTGCGATACATGTGCAGCGCACGTGCGCCCGTGTGCATGTCACATATAGTCAAAACTAATGATTAGTGATACCTTTAAGGTGTAAACATTGATAAGTTGTGTTTTTTAAACAATCAAATAAAAGTCAGTGAGCAGACTTAAATAAGAATTGGCAATTTACAGAGTTAGCTGGAAATTTAAAATTATTAAATAACTATTTAACTTCCACAAAACCATTGATAACTTACTAAGATGTTACAGGTTAAATTACCATAAGTACTTCCGTAAACCAGATGGGAATTCACTAACATGTAAAAACTAAACAAGTTGTCAATTAAAATTTTAGTTACCAACGCACTTTGAGAAATTATCATTACGGAATAGTGTGCCATTTTTTCATGGACGGATCACTAGAAATGTCAATTGCATGTCCTCTCATTTGCCCACTACAAGGTGTATCTTTTATCAAGTCCTGCATTAACCGATCCAATCTAAAGTGCGGATGATGAAAGGAATTGGAACATTGAAAAGTGCCTAAAGGCTAAATCAGTCCATTCTCTTTTCAAATAATCAAAATTTTGCATTACTTGCAACATTTACGATTCAATTGTCGCTGCTAAACTTGAATGTTGCTGTACAGACCGACTCCCAAATTTGTTACATCATTACAAAGGTACTACAATCGTAAGATTGCATTTGCGTTAAATAGCAAAGTCATCAAGGAACAAGCAGATAGCTGAATGACATTGTCGCTCATCACCCAATCAACGCGTCTGGCGCTGGCGGTGCTCCTTGCCTCGTAATCTTTTGACTGAACTCACTCAAGCCAATTCACACATTTTATCGGTCATTGCATCCGCGGGCAGCGGTCCATCTTATCCGAGGCTATACTTCATTTACAGTGATTTGTACTGCTCAATCAGTCTAGAAGCATGGAGGCGTGATGTAGGGGCAATTGTACATCCCAACTTTTGCAGATAAGACATCTGTTATTGGACAGGAGAGGCAATTAGAGAAAGCTCATTCATGCCCACTTTAGGAACAATTCATTCTAAACTACGTTTTTCTTGGCCAATATTCAAACTACTTCACATTTAGACCTTTTAAATAATTGAGGTTCAGCATCCTATAAAAGAGACGGTACGCAATATGAGTTGCGACAGTCCATGGAAATGGAAATGCAAAGGTGTTGAAAGATCAACATATCTGGCCCTACTTAGAGGAAAAGGACATCAGTGTTGTTGAAGTTTACTTTTTATCACCATATTACCATGGAAATGCACCTTAGGTGTGTCTTGCTAGCCATTAATGACATGCAAAGTCGCTGAAGCAAAAACACCATCAAAAGGCAAAATTACTTATCCATGAAAAATTCGAGCACCAGTTACCTGCTTTGATGTTGGTGCTGCCGAACCCATACACTTCTCTATCTTTAGTTTCTGGAAGTGCTCCTGCAAAAGGGAATACAAGTTAGGAATGCAGGCAAGAATATGTGCTTAGACTCATAAATGGTTGCGAGCAATGGTTAGAAGTCCATATAGGGTCATCTGGCTGTACAAATTTTATAGTTTGATCAGAAGAATATGCGTGTCTTACAGAGCAGTCTCATATGCCCGTCTGGTCATCTCCATCAGATGGCGACGAATCCTAATCGCCAGAGATACTTGTTTTTCCTCTGACATTGAACACTAAAAGAAAAATGCAAATTGAAAATTCCTAGCACTTTTCAGAGGCTGCTGTAAGCTTAATCACTTTGTACGAATCTCATTGAAATAAAACAAAGAAGGTTCAGCTTTTTAACTATTCTGCCTAGAGAGAAATAATGACCCAGTCTTAAGTTACCAAAGCTGAAAGTGAAACTCAAAAGGTCTTATGACGGGTGTCCGGATCAAACCATTTGACAGATAAGAAGATAGCTTTTTCCTAATAAGCAGTCTCTCCCCCTCCTTTCTCTTTCCTTTCTACCTTTCAGTCACAAGTAGCTCTTGTTGAAATCTTTAGAAGAGCTATGCGGTATATCGTATGCGATTCCAATCCGGAGTTCAGAACTAGTGAACATGAGTGGAAACAGTTGCATGGAAATACAATGCGAAGAGGAAAGGAACCCGAGGTACTAAGCTTTGCGTTCCATGAAGACGCGACTCTACTGTTACATCCACTCAAGACTGTATTGTTTACAGATAAGCCCACAAATAAACGTAGTAGCCCAAATAAGTTGCAGTACATTGCTCGCAAATACATCCTCTATTATGGATTTTTCACAAGAGAAATGATCAGGATATTGAACTTTGGCAATAAAAGGAAGAGTTAAAAAATTGCCTGTTTCTCCCGCGACAAATGAGCACGTTCAACAGCAGGCATTTCTTCCCACCTCAAAACCTAGTGTAACAGAGATATCACACCAAGGAATTCTTAAGTTTTTAGCGCAAATATTAGTGGTACTAAACGTTGGAGTTTGTGTTATTGTCCACAAACTTCCGATGATATCTTAATGCTAATTAAAGAAACGATAAAAGTACTCACATATTGTGCATAGTGAATCGCATCATCAGCCTTCAAGCAACATTTCAATGCATGCAGGAGATCCTGGATTATCATGTATGAAACATTTCAGGGACACTGAAAGTAAAATCAAAGAAAGTAGATGGGCAAACTTACATATAGGAAATTTGTGATGTAAGCTTTGCACCCAAATTTACATATAGAAGAGAAACGGAAAGCATAGTTCAACTGTATCCTATCCACATGTACATTGGATACGCTTGTCTTATCAGATTGAGTGAAAACTCGAATATCGTCATTTTTGCTTGTTAATTGCAAAAGGCATAATCACCCTATAAGTACCAGCTGCCTCAACAAATATCTGAAAAAGTTGAACAAATGCGTTACTGAAATGTCTAGCTAAATCATCATCTACTTAAGTTGATCTTCCAGGACCATTGCCATTTATATTTGAATCAGCTAAAATTTAACTTAAAAGAGCTCTTAAATTGCCTTGAGCAAGGTAAGGCCAATAGCACATGAGTTCCATTTTTTCCTTGTATGGATTTTCCATGATGATGTTCCTCCATCTTAACCCAGATATCAGATAGTAGATAAAAGCATCCGTGTACGCAATCTCTGTTTTGGCTTTCTCGATGTCCTCCTCATCAAGTAATAGAAATCCATATGGATTGTTGCCTACTTCAACTTCTCAAATATGCAAGGACTTTTTTTTCTAGCAAAAAAAAAAAGGACTCTTTTACTACCGTGGAAGCAAGATAAAGGACCATAAGCTGTTAGAGGCATGGTGACTCTAACTATATAGAGCTTTATCCGATCTAGTCTCCTTGACAGTTTACAGCTGGAGGACAATAATTCTTGAAACGCAAACAACATGGAGGGCCCTGATTTTCAGTGTTATAAAAAGTACAGATAAATTTACATGACCTTGTGCTTGTTCTTATTGATCCTCAGCCGCTCATCGATCACGAAACCAACCTGCAAGGGGGAACTCAAGATAAAAAAAAAAAAAAAGCTAGTAATTTACATAATTAGATCCACACTTGAATTGACTACAATAAACAAAAAGGACGGATGTGAACATAATCAGGTTGCAGAAAATAGACTAATTGATTCACTTGACAAATAGAGCTCAATAATCTCAAAGCAGTGAAACTGAAAAGATTCCTTTTATATTTTTGCAGATGAAATCCAATGAAGATTTTGAAAAGAAAAATCCAATGAAGAGACAACCTATGATGCTTGCATCTATTTTCTCCTGCACAAGTACAAAAACGGTTGTCTATGGCATTATTCTTTGATCCAAATTTGAATATATAGATTGAGATTATATAATTCTTTCAATACAAATGAGATGAGCCAAAGAAACCAACCAGTAATTAACAAGCTAGCAGATACCGAAAGATCAATTTTAGGAGCTGGTTTAGTGGCACTCAAAAGGATAGGTAACTTTCAACCAAAAAAAAAAGGATAGGCAACTAAATGCTTTATGAAATAATGTAGAATATCTATATACACATGAACCACTGTGAGAATTAATACAATGGAGAATAGCTATCCCAGTAAGATAGCCAGACATGCCAAAGTTGCCCTTCATTTACTTTGAAACCCAGTAATTACTTCTTTAGACTGACCAACTATCTACTCAAGGGGACCAGACATCACCTTATCAAGCAACCTTTTGGGATCTTTAAAAGCTTGCTTTTTGGCCCATTGATGGAACATATGAGAAACAAATGATCTGTCCTCAACATTGAATCTGTAATGAAAGAGAGTACATAGACCAGTTACAGTTGACAGTCATTACATTATTTTAAATATTCCGAGTCATGAAAAACGGTCCATGAGAATTTTACCTTTTCAAGAAACTATTTCCATCATAAATGTCCACCGAAGCACCTGAATCCTTGGTAGCCATGTCATTCTGATAGCTGTGCTCACAGGGCAACAGTTCAGCATCAGGACCTTGTGCTTCTCTTGTACAAATGATGGGAAAGTCCGCATTGTCCTTTGAAGTCACTTGATCTTTTGGTTTTAAATCTTTTGCACTCAATTCAATCTACATAAATCATGTGGCCACACATTCATGAGGGAATTGGTGGTGAAGGCCAAAAGATTGGACAAACAGATAGTAACTTGCAGAAAGAGCAAGTGAAGGGGAAAAGATATATTTGATCATGTAGTTATAATGCTGAACACTAACCCATGTCTGTCTTGAAGAAGATGATACTTGGTAGTCAGTTTATCTCTTCTTTTTTTTCTTGCTTTAGACATAACTACAATTAAAATAAGTTCTTCCCATCCAAACACAGCAAAAAGCGCTCATCACTAAGATGGAGTCAACATTACCAAACAAGCATCTTTAATGACAACGATAAAAACTAATGACACAATAGGAACACTAATGCAATCCATAGCAATGACAAATAGATCCTCTAACTTTCTCCTGGAACAAAGAGCAAACGCATGTAAATTATACTTACCTTAATGTAATAGAAAGCAACTTTAATTTGGAAGAGGTCGCTGATAATTTCTGGATTCATTCCCCAGAAAGATTCATCAATTAAAGAGTTCCTCAAATTACTTCATATCAGCTAGCTCAAAAAATTCCCCCCCACAAAATAACTATGGTGTACTACGTAGATTCCATTTTATACATATCCCTTTCCCAGGTGCCATTTTCCAAATATATTTGTCCTTCTGGTGTTTCAACCTGAATCCAACTCACAACTGTTGAGAAGGCTATAGAGTGTATGCTTGATCACCTCAGGCAACAAGAATGATCTGACCTGAAGAAGGAATTGAAAAGGAATAGTTAAGTGGCGCGTTGGTACTTACTTGAACATCTAGAAGATGAACTGGGAGTTCTCTCAGAAAACGTGACGGTTGCAACATCTGAAAGGGAGAGTAAAGAATTATATAACTAACTTGATGAAGGAAAATATTGACTATAAAGTCTGATATAGGCCAAACCTGCCAACTAGTGTCCATCATAACATACAAAATGAAAAGTTTTTGTCGGGCACGAGTCATTGCCACATATAATAGGCGCCTTTCCTCCTAAGATTGAAAAAATATAAGAAGTCAGTGGTTCACACTCCTCAGGACCTGGCCATGGCATTTAAAGAATTTATGCAGCAAGCTGACCTCCACCGAAGTCCCAATCTCCGTAGTAGCACCGTCAAATTCATGTAACAGTGGGATCTCAGATTCATTTGCCTATAGCAACAGTTGGAAGATATCTTAGTTTCATGCATTTTTGCTTATTAAGAATTCTTCTTGGATAAAGAAACAAATCCAACAAATATTTGTGATGTTAATAATCAATCTTTTATGCTTTCCACAAACTGATTTAACTAATCTTTTATTTAAATAAAGCTTCTTGTTAATTCCAAGTATCTTCAATGAAGAAGCTTAACATACATATAGATGCAGTGTATCCCTGAAACGAATTAGCAAATAGCAAGTGCTAAATTTGGTGAAGTCACTGTCAGACATTGTAATTTTAATAAAGGAACAGAGAGCACGTTTTTTCAAGCTATGTGACAAAAAGCTAACACTTAAGATGATAATTTACACTTAAGTAATAACACTACAGATAATCTAATATACACAGAGCATGACATCAATACATTCTTCCACTTATTAACCATACATGTGCAGAACGAAATAACATGTATGAATTGAAATAAAATGTCTGTAAATAATATTATCTAGATTGTTTGCTCCTTAATTTAATCAAAATAATTAAACAATAACTTAAAGTGGACCCAGATGATTCCAAAATTGAAAGTGTCAAAGTTATGCAAGTGACAGCAGATAAGGCTATGAAGTTTGGCACGGTGAGAAGTAACCATCACGATGTATAGTAGAGGAAATGAGAAATTGAGTAAGGAAAGGCATATCAAGTGGCCAGTAGCTTAATAGACGAGGTAAAGTAAATTTGGCACACTGCTTAAAAAGTACCTTCACTATGAAAACAATGTCCCACTCTAAGCCTTTTGACTGCAAGTGAAAGAAAGCATAAGAAGTTTCATACCAGAAAGACCGGAATTCACAATAAACAAAACCAAAAGGAAAAAATTTTCCCATGGTCTAGTGATTACTTATTATGTCTGAGAAAAGTACCTGATGAATAGTGGTCAATGTTATGGAATTTTCATTGTCATGTCTCCGAGAACGAAAATTTTCCCTTTCTCTCTCACATATATGGTCAAGAAAAGCTTTGAGCACATTGCCACAGCCTCCTACTTCTTCTTTTGCATCTATACTGCCTTCTGCAGCAAGTGCACGAGTTGATAAAAAGCTTGACACATCATCCAGTAGAAACTGAAGAACCTGCAGAGAAGAGAAACCCCATCCAAATTGGACTCTAAATACATTGACCACACTCAAGCAAACATTCACATTATAAGTTTTCTTTTCTAACATGGCTGAAATAACAGGATGATGAAAATTTCATTGTGAATATTCCATATAGGCTAAACACCAGTACCTTTGAAGAAAGCATGAAGTACTGTTAGTAATTATGCCGTTTCAGTTTCTAAAAGATAAATATACATCACCATGGACAAATGTGACTGACTAAGTGATTAAGATGCTGCATCATGGTTCTCAGGGACAAAAAGCTTACAGATCTAAGGTCATTGTCTTCATTCAGCAGCTTCCCTCCATCCACATCTAGAACTGCTCGTTGCTCAAGGAGATACTTCTACGGGAGAAAATCATACAGCAATTACTAAAACATAGTCCGAGAACCAACATATTTATTTACCAGGAAACTTAACTTTTAATTTAGCTAATCAACATAACCAAATTGTTTGTTGACCAAACTGTCTAACTAGAAATTGCTTTTGATATGACTTTAAAACATAAATGTTTAATAAAAACTATTTGAACCAACCGATTAAAGATCTTCATGAATTATTATATATGAAAGAAGGGACAGTTTCATTCCCCTTCATGTAAAGGTTGATGGAAGTTATTGTAATTAACCAAGATGAGCACCATGGTCTACAACTGATGGACTGAAAAAGGAATGGTGGCTGTGCGAGCCGGTGTGGGTGCGCAATGATGACTGTGTTGTATCTGAAGTTCTGGAGAACCAAAAAATAGATTTATGAATTCTAAAATGGCAATACAGACGGACCTGTGGAATCATATTTGCCACTGAAGCTATCACAGTGGAAATCGATTGCTCCTGCAATTAAAAAAGACTACAATGAAGAAGAAATCTATTCTGAATGATTATAAAATTCATGCTGAAAAAGAAACATTCACAGAAAACTACTATAATTTGGAAACAACACCCATATGTAAATTAAAACATTCACAGAGAAGTGATTATAAAGTCCATGCTAAAAAAGAAACAACACCCATATTTGGAAACATAAAAATTAAGTTTTGCCCCAAAGCAAGAAAACTGCCATCTAAATATTCAACCAAAGTAAAATTCAAAGAAAAGAAAGATTCGCAATGCGGACTTTCAGTAAAAATATTTTCCCTTCAAGGTTTCAGACAATTTAAAGCAACTATAACCTCTATTCTTGCCAATAAGAGGTCGAGGAACTTAGAAATAGCAATGTTTACCATGCGAACTAGTCTAGATATCATCTCCAGAGTTGACAACACCTTGCGTCCTTGCGTAAGTTGACTCCTGTAAGAAAGTACCAATCAGATCATTAATAACATGTCAAAAGAACAGAATAGCAAGATAATGGCATAAGATAAGATCCAAGAGGCAGTTCAGCTATATGCAATGAAATGCTACCGAACATACATTGGGCCAATTTAACATTCTAGCATCCAAACTTTTACATCATCACGAGTCTCCTACTGTACTGTCTAGTAATAAAAGTGCCATGACAAAAAATAAAATGATAGAACACCCTTTAGGTTCTATTTAAACCTAATAAATGTGTACCTGCTGGCTCTGACCAAAAAAAAAAATGTGTACCTGCTGGCTCTGACCAAAAAGAAAATGTGTACCTGCTGGCCGTTATGCATGGGGGCATATGTCAATTGTGGGTTAACAAACAATAGCATTTTGATATCTGTACCTATGTCATTCATGGGAAATCTTATGCTATTCTCCCCTATTACATATGTCGTTCGTGACACAAAACAGTGCAATAGGTATTGCATTACTTAAACCAAAAGTGTATTAACTGTTGCATCTCCGTTATTTACAGCATAATAGCCATTACATTTCGTGCTTATTCCATTACTGCAATCAAACGGGCTGTTAGGTTGCTTCACAAATCTCATGGTTGAAAAACCAAGTGATCCTACTTGAGAACTGACATCTGAATTAAAAAGATCAAAGAGGGAAGCTGAGAAGATAGTCGTTATATATACAGCCAGGACGTAAGAAAAAACAAAAAAAAGAGATTCTTGTTGTCATCAGACGATATGATGTTTAGAGTTGAGAAAATAAACCTCTTAAATGTTCCGGAAATTTTTGCACTGAAGATGTCAGAGGCAACGGATATGAAGCTGCACTTCCTCACAGTTGATATCTTGTCTATATGGTTAATTACCTGTCACAGACACAGAGAGAGAGAGAGAGAGAGAGAGAGAGAGAGTTCAACACTTGTTGGAAAAACTAAAAGACAGGCATGGATATCTTGCATCCTCCAAAAAATTGAACCAGCCATCACTCAAAGACTCATACCCTCTTCTTTTCCTCTTTCTCAAAAGGAAGCAAAACCTTCAAGACTTGTCGATATGGACCATCATCACAGCCAGGCACTGCTGACTTGAGCATAGCAATTATGGCTCTAACTACCTATGGCAGGAGAAAGTTTCAGTCAACAACAAGTATAATTCTTGCACGGAATTCTGCAGTTTGCCAGCAGGAAAAATTAATTACATCAACTATTTCAATATTCAGAGAGGCTAGGTAACATGAACATAAGGCGGGGAAAAAAGTAAACTATTAAAACTTTACAAATAAGTTTGGCTATGTCAAAACAATATTTTGGTCCTTTACAAGAGCCCAAATTTTGTTAAAATGTGATTAGTAACTTAAAATCCATTTTCACTGGAAACTTCATCATATTATGAAAGAACTGTAATGAAACATAACAATGCGATAAAATAGGAGAGACAATTTAACAAGTTGTTCGCTCATATGAGACATCTCAATCTGCTTGCAGACTGCTACATAAAGAGATCCCTATATAATCATAAGCAAAAATGTAGTCTGTACACACAAACTCAGTAGCCTCTGAGACATACTCCCGTTGATATTTGCACCAGTTTTTATCATAAGGACGAGCATAGCAATCATATCTATGGGCTGAAGAATGTAGCAGCAGAAAAGATTTGAGAAGGAAATGGTTTTGGAAGAAAAGAAGGGCTACAAAAAAGCTAGTTAGTAAATACTCCAATGGCAAAATCAGCATCAAATGATAGATTAACTCTGTTATTAACAGAAAATTGTCCTAAACTTCCACATATATTAGAGACTTAATACTGAAATTTAGATAGGGATGTTAATATGACAGAGCATTGAGAGTATGGCAATCCAGTAGACTTGAGGGGGGAAAACCTTTTTCCTGTAAAAGGCCACACCATGCGCGTTAAAAGGAATTTTTCTTTCTCGAAAGGCACTTTGGAATGGTTTCCCAGAGACCTACACGACCAGGATCATCAGAACTAATAGTTGCTAAATGGCTCTTTCCATCTATAATAATAATAAAAAAAGAACAAAGAAGCTTGACCTGCCTACGGTAAAGGATAGCAATATCTCCATAAGAGCAATTAGCAGTGGAACCACTAGACGTGACTTCCAGAATCTTGTCAATAACAAATGTACACTGCGCATCCTCATTGCGACATTCTTTGACAGTAATCTACATATTATAATCAAATTCAGTATAAATTTATTGCTCGTGCCCCAAATTACTCTTCTACCAATATGAAAGCGACAATAGACACCTTAGATCCTGTGGAATTGTCAGTGAGGACATTCTTACATTGGCGCCTCTTCACATTATTTTTAATAAGAGATGATGCAGCCTCGACAATACACCTTGTGGAACGATAGTTTTTGACTAATCTAATCTGCACCATAAAGGCTATGTCAAGTCTAGTATGAAAATACAAGCTCGAGTATTTTAAGACAGGGAGATAGGGAAGGGATCATAGAAAAAGCAGACTAGGGAAGCTGACCACTTTATGCATTGGAAAGTCTTCACGAAAAGAATCAAACCCAGATATATTCGCTCCACTAAAACTGAATATTGACTGCAGCACAAGTACGGGGGTTTAACTCCAAATAATTTAAAAACATAAATGTTTTGCAGTTACTTGCCAAAAATGGTCGAGATATGGAAACCAAAATCGTGTGGACATACTTGATCATCATCTCCAACAATAGTTATGCGGTTATGAGATGCAAGAATCCGCAAGAGATTATACTGCATGGCACTTGTATCTTGGAACTCGTCTATTATGATGGCCTTATACATATCCTGACATTCCTTGAGCACTTGAAATTGGACATCGATAAATGTTAACTTGACTTGAACAATAGTTACTAATTTGATGACTTCATATATAGAAGTACTGACCTTCTGGAAAATCAGCGAGCAACTTCACGGAACAGCTAATTAGGTCATGGTAATCCAAAGCATTACAAGATCTCAATATATAATTGTAGTTGTGAAGAATTGCAGCCTAATTAAGGTCAAAACAAGAAACTCAACGGCAGAATAACGAAAGAAAGTAAAGGAGAGAACTTTAATAGTTAAGCTGCAGATATATCTAAAAGAGAATCAGCTTACTCCAGTATCATTGCCCGACTTACTGCAATCTGGAGGTGTTTTTCCAGAAGCTTTAGCCTGAAAGAGAGAACCTCAATACCTTTAAACCAAAAGTACCTTAATACTTTTTCCCAGGTCAAGCAAACAAATATCCAAACAAAAAATGAGTACATTCAAGAAGCCACAAACATGTACTTCTTTGGACTTTGTTGCTTGTTGAAAGGTGAAAATGTACTAGAAACCAACCCAAACACAAACCTAGGAGACACTTACAGTCAGTCAGTAAGATACATATATCCAAACAAAATAGGATGATTTAAAGTGCCATGAACCCTTCATGAACCACATTCCCCCCCAAGAGAAGCTTTAGCCTCAAAGACAAAATAACGGTGCCTTGACACAGAAAGTGACCTATTCTCACCCTCTCCCTCCAAAAGCTTTAGCCTGAAAGAGAGAGCACTAGTGCCTTGACATGTAAAGTGCCCTGCACTTTTTCACTGGCAAAGCAAATAAGGATTCCAAAAAAAAGAGTAGTTTTAGGAGCGCCAAAAATGTGCATGTTCAGGACTTTGATGCTTGTGAAAAGGTGTTTCCCATACCTTATGCTTTATCTGAACCTTTCACACTTAACCAAATCGCATGGCATGAATATCTGAGAAATCTAGGAGATGACATCAACTGAGATATGATATTGTCAAATTAGGTGGTTTTTAGTTCTTTCTTATATGAAATTTTTTACTGAAACCCAAAGCTGAATCTGAGAATGATTTTTGAAACTTCAAGCAATGCTGCATTCTTTTAGGCTGGCTACTGACCTGAGTAACAAACTTCTGCCACTTCTTTGATCTATCCTTGAACAGCCGTGGAGATGTCAAGCCATTGGGATCTTCAGAAAGGTCACCAACATCATCATTTTGTTTGCTATTTTCTTGTTCTAACAATCTTATGGCCTCAATGACTGCTTTTCTCTGTTGTCCATGGCCAAATATCTGAAAATCTGGTGTACGCTCTATCCTATATGACAATCAAATCAAACTCTAGTTAAGTCAATACTTCATTATGAGAGGGAAATAATTAGGATAAGAATGTTGTGAAAGAGATGTCATCGTTGGAACGAAGATGATCATGAAGGAAAGATGAAAATTGGAAGTGGACCATATATTTTATAAACTATGGGAAGCTCTGGTGAATGCTAGGAGGAGATTAACACAATGCTACACCAATATTGGGACAACAGAACACGCAACCAGCTGTCATACGCAAACCCAGAGCCAAAAGTGTATTCTCATGAAATGTATACATCTTGGAATGAAAAAAGTAAAACAAAAGAAGAAATGTACTTTTCAGCATGACTACGGCAGAGTTGCAAAGAAAATGAATGGAATGTGCTGATTGTAAGGTCTTTAGCTGCTTCCTTCCCAGCAATAGTTCCAATTCTGTCTCTCATTTCAGAAGCAGCTGCAGTGGTGAAAGTCATTGCTAGAATGTTTGAAGGATCAAGACCCTGGAAAAAGTATCGGTCAAGAAAGAATACTTAATCGAGAGGTGAGACATTCCACGAACTTGGAGATGCTAACTGTTTCAACTTTAATCGAAGTTGAAAATCACATGGGACTTGCTACTCAGAACATCAAATGGACAAAAAAAAGAAGAAGTTCAGATAGAAAGTAACAGAGCCAACTAGCTGTTTTATGCCAAAGACGAACAATCCAATGATGCAGTGGGAAGTACCTGATTAAGTAATGTCAAAATGCGCCCAACCATAGTTGAGGTCTGAAACGAGAAAGAAAGGGAGTCATCTTTGCCGCGGAAGAAATGTTAAATCGTATTTGGGAGGAGTGGAAGAAACAAAACGACAAGAGAGAAGAAGACCTTTCCACTGCCTGGACCAGCAACAATCATCAAAGGAACAGAGATATCAGTGCAAGCCGCTTCTTGTTGCCTCTCATTTAGAGAACCCAAGTATTTCGAGTACCCTTCAGGCATGCTCGTGCTCTTTCCAACTCTAAAGTCATCATCATCAGGAGGACTTCTTTGCTCACCGCTCCCAGTGTTGTCGTCAACAGCAACAAAAGCGGCACCGGCGTCAAGATCAGCAGGGTAGCTAATTTGAGCTGAAGATTCCCCTCGAACGGGGCCACTGCGATCTCCTGCCCCGCATGCCGAGGATTTGCCCTCCGACAGAGCATCGAGCTCTTCCAGGAGGACATCGTCGAAAGCATCATCTAGAATGCTACAATTCGAGAACGAATCACCTACGCCGCAGCATTCGGCTTGTCTCACCGGAGTCCTATAAGAATCCAATTCGCAACCGTCCTGCACACTAATCCTCGCCTCTCGAATCTCGTCCACCGACTTAACCTCACCGAGACCGCCATCTAACGGCATGTTCGTCGAGATCTCCGAAAGAGGAATTCTCCGGACGCTCGACAGCGGGGAATGCGGGATCCCATTTTCGAACCTGAGTTTCGACAACGACCGAATGCATACAATCACTGAGTATCCAACAGGGAATCGATTGCTATGAAAGCCTAAGCATCCATCATCGGCGAGAGCAGGAGGGGGAAGAGGAGCGAGCGAATGCGGAGATCGAATCGTACCTGCGGCGGCGGCGGAGTGGATCGGGGAAGGCGGGGGAGAGGGAGGGGCGCTTGCGAGCGAGGAGGGCCTTGGCAGCTCGGAACTTCTGGGAGATTCGAGCCATCTGTGCCTCCGTGATTTGTTCTTGAGACGAGGCATCGGCGACGGCGTTCTCGTTCGACATCTCCTCGGGACTGAAGGCGATGCTCGCTCGCGGAGTTGCAGCACAAAGCCTAAGCGCGGCGGAAATGGAGGCTGTCGAGCATCTGCAACTGCTGGAGCTGTACTTTCCCTCCTTTTGCTGCCGAATTTCAAAAACTTTTTTTAACGCTGGGTTTTTTTTCTTTTTTTGGGCAAATGCAAATTGCTTTGTTTTTATCTTACAAAAAGGCCCATCTCATCTAGGGGTGTGCAAAGGAATCGAGAATAACCCGGACTATTTGGGACCTCCCGGAACCGGACCGGAACCAATGGTTCCTAAGGGAACCGGTCCGGTTCCAAGTTTCAAGTGTGGAACCGTCCACCCACTCACTCGGACCGGACCGGTAATATAATATATAATATAATATACTTATTTAATTTTTAATTTAAAAAGAAAAATCTTAAATCTCTAAACTAAATCTAACTCACTTAACAGTAACAACTTCATACTGAGCCGAAAAACACCTTCTTTTGCTTTCGCCTCACGCTCACTCTCACTCTCACTCTTCTCGGTCGATACTCACCTCACCGTCTCCAACTCTCTGTCTCCGTCTCCGTCTTGACTGGTGGGTCCATAGAACCAACTGGCGGTTCCCAATTCCAATTTTCAGGAACCGATCCTTAGTGGGTGGTTTCTAGTTCTAAGGTGGGAACTGCCCACCTGAACTATGCTTACCCATGATCTCATCTATAAATCTATTAAAATGATCTAAATGAGGCTTTTGAAAAAGTATAGAATAGAGGGAAAAAATCACAAAAAAAATCTCATTGCAACACATTTATCTTGAACTTTTTTAAAGATATAAAAAATCTCAAATTATGCCCACTATGACAGATTTACCCTAAACTTGTTCTTGTGACATAAAGAACCCCAAACTTATATATATGTGATATATTTACATTTCGTCAAAGTTCCGTTAAATAATTTTTCCGGCCAAAACGTAGCTTTTATTTCACTTAAACCACATGACACATGAGTGCCATGACAATATTGTTTGCTTTCTAATATCTATATAAGCAGATTTTAACGGTTCTCATTAACAGAATTTTGACAAAGGGTAAATGTATCATACAGGTACAGGTTTTGGATTTTTTGTGTCACGGAAAAATTTTTAGAGTAAATGTGTCACATTAGACATAGTTAAAGGTTTTTGGTGAATTTTCCCCTAGAATAGATGAGACAACTCTATTTTGTGCCTTCCAATTTTGCCCCCTTTTTCTTGTCCTTTCTTTCTCTCTTTTTTTCCAGGGGAAAATGATACAAATAGTCATTGAACTTTGAATCAATGTGCAATATAATCCCAAAACTTTTAATTTGTTCAATGCGGTCCTTTAACTTTAACTCAACATGTAATGTCATCCCTAAACTTATAAATTGTTCAACGTGATCTCTGAACTTTTGATAGATATTCAATTTAGTCATTGAATTATATAAAAATGTTCAATATTGTCCTTGAACTTGAATTAATGGAATGACAATATCGAACATTTTCATATAGTTATGGGACCAAAAGTTCTAGGACCACATTGCATATTTGGTCAAAGTTCAAGGACCAACGCAGGATAAATTTGTACAGATGTATCGGTTTGGGGTTTTTAAGTGGTCAAAAAATTAATTTAGGGTAAATTTATTTGTTACAGGTGTATCAATTTGGGATTTTTCATGGTATTAAACCTATTTTGTTTTTATGGAGTCATGAATTAAATGCCTTCGGAAGTATTATTTTAATTAGTATGCACCTCAACTCTAGATTTGACGTCTGTTCTACAAAGAAGGATTAACTACAGGTGTTTTGTTTGTTTAGATAAGTTGTTTGATCATACATATCAAATTTTGTGCATAAAACTTTACTATCATAAGACGGTTCTAACTAAGACCAATACGCACCAACACTCGTCATCTTATGATATTCGACATGTCTTGTAGAAACAAAATTAACCATACCTAAATTGCATAACACGTTTTATGTCATCTAGAATTAGTTGAAACGAGTATTGGCTATATATTAAAATTAAACAATTATTAGGGAACGTATGTATATATAATAATATATAATGAAAAAAATGTGCGTGAACCGTCAAATTTGATGAAATCTATGTGATACTATCCATTTTAATTAGTCAATTTCCTATTAGTACATGTAGACTATTCACTTAATAAATTTGCGGTACATGAAGTGTTAATTTCTATCTCTAATATTTCAAAAATCAAATATATTTACAAGAGAGTCCTTACGTAGTTATCTCAATATGTAGATAACCTGTTGAAGATGAAATACTTGTCCAATTTTAATTCAGATTTGTACCGAGTGCTATAGATGTTTGAAAGATCAAAGACAATTACATGATGTGCGATATCATTCTCGATTCATAAACCTTGCAATTAAAAAAGAAAAAAAGCACGGCATTTGTTCAAATAATAATAATAATATAATTACAAAATTAACTTAAGAACAAGACGAAAATTCGTTATAACCTGATTAGGGAAGGGGCAAGATATAAAAATTTCATTGGAAATATCATAAACATCATAACTATGTACTAGTAAAAGCGTCGAGTACAAGAGGTGGCGTCCCTGCTTGATCTTGGATCCATGATTATTACAAATCTATAGATTTTTATTCCTACCACCAGCTTCTGCGGCAGTGTTATAACTCATCGCTTTGCCGGCTCCCCCCGCCACTAGCAGCACCGACGACAGTCAATATAAGAAACTATGGAGTTCACAAAATGCTCATTTCCATTGCGAAAGATGCACAGAAATATGTTTGGATATACATCTAAAAATGTTTATACATCAAGAGAAAATGTTTTCACTATTTGGCCCTTGAATTTGTTCAAGACCTTAAATTAAGTTCTTGCTGTCCAATCAAATCATCGAATTTGCATAACTTCTCTAATCAACCCCGCCAGCTTCCTATTCAACTTATCGAAGCTAACGATCCTGTCGGAACCAAAAAGAGCTTTGATGTGGAAAACTCGAGGGCAGCTTGCATGTTAGGAAATCTCGTTTCTCTAGTTCTGGCAATGGTCTTCATTTCTTGAGGTTTAATGTCGATCGGCTCTTAATAAGTATTTGATGATGAAATTTCTTGATAAGGTACATAGTATGATATATGCGTTTGCCTTTGATACGACAAGTCCCGTGCTCGAATCAAAGTGTCGCTTACTCGGAGTAATTTAAGTGTCACTTACTCGGAGTAATTCATGAGATTAGTCGAACCAAAAGGTTGGAAAATCTCGTATTCATAAAATAAAATATAAAAATTACTTCGTAAGAGAGAGCTTCATAAGATATACTTATAGAAAATCGCGAAGAATAAACCACGGGATCATTTATTTATTACAACACAAGGACGGAGTGTGAATTCATACATCTAGGCAATGCATTATCGTATGACAACAACTAACATTAATAAATCTCTCTGAACGAGAATTCACTGCAATATACGTGAAGTGATGTCGTACATGCTCCATACGACAATTCATGGGGGAGTAGTGATACCTGAAACGAGAGAAAGAGTAACATTGCTCAGTCATTTTATTTTGTAGATGAAATCATTCACAATTTTTCATGCTTGTATGAGCGGGATGACCGAGAGCCAATGGTTCTCTCCAATTATAAGCACATTAACATATTTTACTCAAACACCTCGAATCTCTATATCATTGTGAATGTCTTGCAGATTTTAATTAACGACACGTGATATAATTGATACATAAAATATTGGCTCATAAGCATGGTGTCGTCGTGATAATATTACTTGAATCGAGAGAGGGAGAAAGTATTTTGCTTACTTCCGCATTTGTAGTTGCGAGGGATGGTGCCGCCACACCCTCGGATCTCGCCCACAAGGCGCTCAACCCCGTAGGCCCGAACGAGGGAAGCCAACTTGGGAGTGATGGGGCAGACACACTCCACAAAGTGCGCGACCCTCACCTTCTGACAGCATGCCGGCTACACTTTCTGTCTCGACAGGAGCGACACCCGGCACGCCTCCTCCATACGCTTCCTCTCCTCCTTGCACTGCCCAGGAGTCACCGCCACAACGTATCAAGCACCCCACTGTTGGGATTTTGGAACCAAAATCCCATAGAATTGAATGAGAAGTGTGTGGGTGAAAGTGTCCCACATAGGGTAGAAGAGAGATGGGAGATGGGTTCAAATAGTTGAGCCTCACAAATGGGTTTGGGCCTTAAGACGAATTTGCTTCGGTTCTGTTCGTATATTCTTATGCGTTGTTCATATCAAATATCATATTGCCGTTTCTTTAATTCGAACTTTTGTATAGTTCGTATGTTCCTTGTCATATCGTATAGAATACGATTCTATTTGCACATTCTGTTCGTTAACGAATTTTTCGAATATTGTTCATATTAGAAATTTTCAATTCTGTTCGTGAATATGGTATGTGTTTATATTTCAGAAATGGCTTCGACTTCGGTTAATCCTGTTCCGAATCACGGAGAAAAGCCAGAAAAGTTCAATGGTACGGATTTCAAGAGATGGCAACAAAAGATGTTGTTCTATCTCACGACCTTGAACTTGGCTAGATTCCTCAATGAGGATGGTCCTAAATTGGACGTTGGAGAGACAAATAAAGAAAAGCTTGCTGCTGTGGACGCATGGAATCATTCTGACTTCCTGTGTCGCAACTATGTCCTCAACGGTCTGGACAATACTCTCTATAACGTATATAGTCCGCTAAAAACGGCTAAAGAGTTATGGGATAGTCTGGACAAGAAATACAAAACCGAAGATGCCGGATTGAAGAAATTCATTGTCGGTAAATTTCTGGACTTCAAGATGGTTGATTCAAAGACCGTCTTAAGTCAGGTTCAAGAGCTTCAAGTGATTATGCATGATATTCATGCTGAAGGAATGACTCTAAGTGAGACATTTCAAGTGGCTGCATTCATTGAAAAATTGCCACCATCCTGGAGAGATTTCAAGAATTATCTCAAACACAAGAGAAAGGAGTTGTCACTTGAAGACTTGATTGTTCGGTTGAGGATAGAGGAAGACAATAGAAATTCCGAAAAGAAAGTTGGCAGCAATTTGGCGGTCTCAAGGGTCAATGTTGTTGAAGAAGGATCAAAACCCAACAA